AACCCATCCCCAACCTAAAAATATCCAACATAAATCATCATTTTACTTAATGGAAGAAATCTTTTACTTATTCTCTCAGTAAACGGAGAATAAAGAATTCCAATCGTCGGTTGTTTGTCAATTGTAACACAAAACATGACCGTAACATATTCAGTGAGATCTTCTAAAATAAAAAACATCCTCTCGGTTCGGATTTATTCTTTTAATCAAGGGAAATGGCCCACTCTCGTCTGACCGAAATATTCCATTTAACTTACATCTTTGTCGATCCTCGAAAACGTGTTCGACAAATAACAACGAGATCTCGATTGTCACATTGCGATTCGACAATAAGAACGAAAAAAAATAGAAAATTGACATGTACTCATACTCCTAGGGAAAGTACTGATGCATTTTCGTAACAATAAACCTGTAAATTCTTTTGTTGCGTCTAAGGGGTCAATCCATACCGCAACGGACGATAAAGGAACAGTGAGGAAATGGTTTTCATTGAATTTCTTTTGAATAATTTTGAATTGTTCATCATTGATCGAATCTTTTTCTTCAGAAACAATCTATGTGATAAACAATCAGTTTTAACGAAGAAAAACAAATGAAGAGAAACTTTACTTGAAGATTTTGAAATTTCTTTTTTAATCCATTTGTTAAAATTGAATGAGAAATCAAATCTGAATCCGTAAATACTTCGCAATATCTATTTTTATTCAGATAACATCATGAGAAAATGTATGTGACAACAAAGGAAAATAGTGAGAAATATCGTCGGTGTGAATTGCGGAGTGTTGAAGAATTAACGTTTTCACTTTAGCACAGTTGCGTCGTGTCACATCTTTTGTAAAATTCTCCGTTACCGTTCTCAAATGTCGATATTTGACCTTTAATTCAGTTAAACGAGGTAAACACACTTTCGTTTCGTTGAGGAACTGTTCAACGTAATGAATATGTGTAAAACTTATATCAAGTGAAATAAGTTGAGAATATTCAATCATAGAACACCAATGTTCATCTTTTGAACAGTATTCGCGATATGTAGAAAATGGCGAAAGAAGATTCCAAATACATAGACTTCGAACAGATGGGAAAATTCGTGCAAGTCGATAAAAAAATTCATNACGAGGTAAACACACTTTCGTTTCGTTGAGGAACTGTTCAACGTAATGAATATGTGTAAAACTTATATCAAGTGAAATAAGTTGAGAATATTCAATCATAGAACACCAATGTTCATCTTTTGAACAGTATTCGCGATATGTAGAAAATGGCGAAAGAAGATTCCAAATACATAGACTTCGAACAGATGGGAAAATTCGTGCAAGTCGATAAAAAAATTCATAGTTGAATGGTTTTTCATCAGATAATTTTAAATGAGTAACAGAATCATACACCGTAGTTGGAAGATTATTTGTAATATCCCTCAAACGAGTAAATTGAAATGGAATTGAAAAAACACGCGATATCATTCCCATTGAATCAATATAATCCACCATAGAAGTCATATGTCGTTGTTCTTTATTGGTGAAAGTTTTTTCAATATCTTCATTAGATAAACGAATAGAGAGATCATGAGTATTAGTTTGAGAAGCAAAATAGAATTTGAATATTTGAAGTTGAAACATACGATTGAGAATTTCATTATCAAGATAATGACCAGAAACAAACAAAAATGTATGGCATATTTGAATATAGATAGTTAATTCTTTCAAATATGACATTCGTCGAAGAAGAGGTACAACTAAATTTTGAAATCCAGTTGTATCATTATAACATATCAATGAAAAACAATGTAAATTTGGCAGATCATCCTAGAAAGTGAAAGAGTTTCAAATATCAATTTATATGATCAAATTCTATTAATTGAACTTCTGTACAAGAGAAAAGTACAGTTTCCATTTAAAATATGTTGTCAAAATCAATAATAGTATCAAATATAAACTCACCATGTTATAAGATCTTGATATTCTATTGCCAATATAATTAATTTGAACATTGAACGAAGTTAATTGCTTGAGACGACCATCAAGCAAAGCTAAACAGTCATTAAAACTATGTACGTTGATACATAATTTCGTAAGGATTGAAGAAGAACAAGTCATTGATGATGAATTACATAATGATAAAGGTGGATAATCAAATATAGATATTGGTTTGATACTCAAATGTTTTAAATGTTTAAATAGAGTCAAAATAATTCCATAATCTACATTAATATTCTNCGAAGTTAATTGCTTGAGACGACCATCAAGCAAAGCTAAACAGTCATTAAAACTATGTACGTTGATACATAATTTCGTAAGGATTGAAGAAGAACAAGTCATTGATGATGAATTACATAATGATAAAGGTGGATAATCAAATATAGATATTGGTTTGATACTCAAATGATTTAAATGTTTAAATAGAGTCAAAATAATTCCATAATCTACATTAATATTCTCGAATTCGTTCCCATCGATAACACTTTTTTCATTGATAATAAGAATAAGATCTGTAATTGGTAGTTTATAAATATGTGCACAAGGAGAATTATCTAAATAAAACAAAGTATTTCATGTAAAATCATCAGATCCTTTCAAATAGATACGTTACCATTCAAATAATAAGAAATGACTTGTTCATTGAAATTAAAAATTGTAAGTTTAGTTAGATTAGGATAAATACCACTGTTGAAAATATTTTCCATAGAAACAGATTCAACAGTAAGTGATTTAATATTTTCATGAATCTTTGGCAATATTAAATGACAGAATCGATTCAAGATTGCATCAGACATTGAATGAACCTCATCTGTTGATTGAGAAGTACGAACAAAATGAAGATTTCGAATAAAAACATCTTCTTGTGCAATAAGATTAAGCCTTTGATTATTGATACCAAACAAAGAATAAAGAACATCGATATTGGGAAGTTTTTTCAAGATGATAAATAGTATTTCATTCGGAAGATCGAGCAGATGAACGTTATGCTGACTCATTTCTTATGATAATTTCAATCATTCGGTTTCAAAACGAACACATATATATATAGACAATCATGTCATATTGCATTGTTCATCGATATCGCGTTCATATAAGAGAAGAGAAGTTGAATTTGTTGAACGAATGGAAAAAGAAAGAGAATATGACTGGCATTTTTTGCCAAAAAATGTCGCGCACAATTCTTAATTGAACTTTAACCTGATTTAGTCTGCTACACCAATCAGTTGAAGATTTACGCCGACGTCTATCACATTTATTTTTCTATACAGATGTTATCTTTTGTTTCAGAAATGAAAGAAAGCGTGAAGTTATGCGTTGACGCTGACGGCAGAATTTTGTTGACTTTTAATGTGGATATTAATTTGTCTCATAATAATACTTATGTATTAAAGAGGATTTTCATGTCGCATCTGATAGATATTATAAATAAAGTAAAAAATATGAAAGGAAAAAGATAGTGAAATCATTGACTGGATTATCCAATCGTTTTAATTATTTATGTGAAATCCCCGTTTCCAGCGATATATGATGGCACAGATATATGATTATCAAGTTTATTGGTAAAAAATGAGTAGCTGCCTAATTCGACTTATAATATAAGTGACTAATTCCTAGCACCCTTAGGAATAGAAATAGATCTAGTTTCACTTATACATATATACCCTCACCCACACCCCACCCTGCATAAAACCAGGATGAATAAATGTTTGTGGTCCCCATTCTGTAGATTTGTCATTTGCCATGATGTTTGACTTTGACCAGATTTAACAAATTCATAATCGAAATAATCACAGGCTAATCGACAAGATAAAACAATGTTTTACACAATCAAAAGATTCTTCTTCTTCATTTACCTGCTGAAAGATCGATTTAAAGAAAATAACAAAACAGTATGTGCATATCTAGTGTTATCAGATGAGAGAAAAAAGAAATGAATGGAAACTTGGAGAAATATTTGAAATTGAATGCACTGTTTTAGTAACGCACATTTTTATTCCTCTATTAAATGTATATTATTGCTATTAAAGAATTATTAATATTTGTTTCTTCTAAATGAAATTTTGTTGTTTTATTTATATGAAAACGATGCAGAAATTGCAAAAAAAAAGATTTAATCCGTTTTTTTCTTCTTAGACAAATATTTCGTGAGATTAGAATTCGCTAAGAAATTTAGAATTTCTCCGTGATTTCTTTGATGAGTCGCTAAAATTCCATCAACAACTAACATATCTTCTTTCGAATGATCATAAGAAATCGTTTGATTTTTCAATGTTGTCATTGTTCCCTGATTTGCTCGAAGAAGCGCATCGGGAGCACAAAGGTCCCATTTTTTAATTGGTGTAATATGAAGATAATAATCCGCATAATTTTCTAATATCTGAACTGTTTTATAACCTGAACCAGCTGCTGGAATAATTTTATACTGTTTATCACGATAAATACTCTTGAGAAGTTCAAATGTTTGACCTGCATGTGAACGAGACACGATGATATCATCAACACCTCTTGTATGAAGTGGTTTGAGACTATTTTCATCTCGTTTGATCATTGAATGATTAACTCCAACCCATCCCCAACCTAAAAATATCCAACATAAATCATCATTTTACTTAATGGAAGAAATCTTTTACTTATTCTCTCAGTAAACGGAGAATAAAGAATTCCAATCGTCGGTTGTTTGTCAACTGTAACACAAAACATGACCGTAACATATTCGGTGAGATCTTCTAAAATAAAAAGTATTCTCTTGAGTGATATTTAGTTTTGTCATCAAACAGAAACGCCTACTCTCATTTGACCGAGATATTCTATTTGACCTATTTCTCTCTCTCTCTCTCTCCGCAGAGAAATGTTCGATGAGCAACTACAAGAATTCAATCGGCAAATTCCGATAATTTATCGAGGAAAACTCAGGAAGTAAAAGGATTATTTATCTTATAAATAAGAAATAGATAAGTCTGAATCGTTTCTTTCCTTCGCTTCTTAATAGGAGAGCAATGTATCGACAATAAGAACGAAAAGAAAAGAAAAAGTTCACATGTACTCATACTTCTGAAGAAACTGCTGATACAGACAGGCGTACTTTTGTAACACGAAAAACGAACCTGTAAATTCTTTTGTTGCGTCTAAGGGGTCAATCCATACCGCAACGGATGATAAAGGAACAGTGAGAAAATGATTCTCATCGGTAATTTGTGGAATTGTTGTTAATTTATCTTTGACATTGAATTTCTTTTGAATAATTTTGAATTGTTCATCATCGATCGAATCTTTTTCTTCAGAAACAATCTATGTGATAAATAATCAGTTTTAACGAAGAAAAATAAATGAAGAGAAACTTTACTTGAAGATTTTGAAATTTGCTTTTCAATCCATTTGTTAAAATCGAATGAGAAATCAAATCTGCAATTGTGACTGGTTCACTTGGTAGATCTTCAAAGGACTTTTTCTTAAAAATCTCCCGAAAATTTTCCTTTTTGTTTTTAAACAATTTAATTGCTTGTCCTGCTTGATACGTTAATTGATATGCATAAGAAAACAGATCAACTAAATTAATATTTTCGTCATTTTCAATTGCAACTTTATCTTTCAGATCTGTTGTTGGATGATTTGACGATAAAAGATACACAATAAACAAACAAAGACAAATTCCCAAAATGAAAAACGATCGGTGTGGTTGAAATTTAACTCCAAACATTCGATATGTCATTGATAAATCATCTTTAATAAAGAAGAAGCTAAATGAAACGCATCTAATCTTTGTCTGTTAGTATATTCTTCAAATAAACAAGAAGAGAAAAGAAAATGAACGAGAAGAAGTAAAGCATATCGTACAAAATGAAAATTTTTATGAAGATATTTCATGAAGTAAATTAATTCGATTAGGTGATGTTGAAATAAACTTTTCCAAAAACTTCAGTTGTGACGGTTTCGAATTTGTTAATAATGAATAAACATCTTTAATATGATACCAATTTCTTTGTCTACCGATTAATCTTTTATCATCCCAATCATCATATTCTTCTTCAAAATAAACAACAAAAACTGTCGTGCGATGATTTCGTTCACGATTTTCAAAAATTCCTAATTCACGAAGAATTCGTCCTTTGACACCCGCTTCTTCATATAACTCTCGATGTGCTGCTTCATGTGGACTTTCATTAGGTTCAACACCACCACCAGGAAATATCCATGATGATTTATCACGATGAGATGTGATCAATAAAATCTATTCGAAAACAAAATATTGAAAAGAAGAAAACTAGAAGACTTCTTACTTCATCTTCATATTGATTTCTTACACAAACACACGCTGCGCGTTGTCGATAACCATCATCATCGAAAAATCGCATTTTGTTATCATCTTTTTCTAATGGATTATTACCTGTCATTTCAATTCGACGAAGAACAGAAACAAAAAAAACTGATAGAAATGAAAGACTCGATCAAAAAAGAAAGGAAAACTGACAAATACAAAAAAAGAAAAGACAAAACAAAATCACCAACTGATAAATAAGAGACTAGAGAATATCAAACGAAGAATTTCAATATAAATCAGTCCAATAATTAAAACATATTTTGCCAAGAAATCTTTCTCGATGATAATCAAGATTTACAAGTTGTGCAAATAGTTTCGTCATAGCCGCATTTTACCAGATCGTTTTATCTAAAATCAAATTAGTTCAATCTCGTTGTCTTTCAAACAACTAAACAAACGAACTGATTTCATTTTACTTTTCCTACTCTCTATGGTTATTTAAACAACTCAATCATTTACTTTATCATATAGATGTCGCTTATCATCATTTTTCTTATTTTTACTCACTTTTTCTTCGATTTCGATCTCAGATAAGAAAATCAATAATTTAATCACGTTGTAAAAGAAATAAACGTAATAAAAATTTATCTAAGAAATAAAGAGAAAAGACAAATACAATACGAAATGATAAGGAACCTCGAAATTTTCCGCCCAAATAATACGGAATATTGTTTGTCACTAAGAAAAAATAAGAAACGCATCAGTCGATATTTATTGATCATTACGATTGTTGAGAAGACATCGTGACGAGAAATTCTCTGAGTCAAAGGTCGATTCTTACACATATTTCTATCCCTTGTTTTTCCTCTTGACTTCGTCTGTCTACAAAAGGACACATTTTTTTTTCTCTTGTTCGTCGTGACGTCAATGGTCGACGAGAAAATGATGAAAAACGACTGCTAAAGAGAGAAAGAAAATGCAATGATGACGATCGTTATTTTTCGATAGAAAATATTCAGAACAAATTTGTTTCTACATGTTCTATTTCATCTCTTCAACGAATTTCGTAGTTTTATCATTCAAACATCACGCGTTCAACACATTTCTTCGTCTTATTGAGCACGTGATCAGTGAGAAAAGCACACAGATTCTTCTAATCAATTCAATAGTTTATCTATCACACATAAAATCGATAGAAATAGAAAGGTGATATCACAAAAAGAAACAAAAAGAGAAAGTTCAATAGGAAATCACAAAAGTTCTAAGGCATAAAGCGATGAATAACAAGGAGGTAATGATTGTAAAGAAGACTTCGAATCTTCTTTATAAGATTTATCCAAGAGAAATAAATGATGATTGATTTGTTGAATTTGTTCATGATATCTTCCAAGAATTTGTTCACGTTCATTCAATTTGGATTTTAATAATGAAGTTTTCTCCGAAAAACTTTTTTCATTTTCATGAACTAAAACTAAAGAAAATCAAAATCAGTTTAACAAAGTTCAATATGAACTTACGACACGGTGTGGAAAAGTTTTGATTGATTGAATTTTTGCATTTGCTGAAAAGAATATTTTGATAAAATTGTTTAAATATTCGACAACTTTTATCTGACATAGAACAAAGTGCTGAATCTGTTGATTTTGATCGAAGATTGACATAATCGTCATCTGCATTTCTGCTTAACATATCAGATGAATAACATCGATGAAATGGATTTCTATTGAAGCAAAATCAAAGTTATTTTCTTCAATAATTCATTGTCAAACATGCATTGTCGAAAAACAAACATGACAAGGAAAGGGATCAAACGAATATTTTCCTTACAAATTTTATATTTAACAATACAAAATCAAACAAATTTAATTTGGACGAACAACACTGGAATAAGTTTAGTCTTTTGTGTTAATAAAAGAGATATTTAAGAAAATGATAAAAATACCTTTTAACAGAAATATTTATTGGTTTAGATGGTTGTTGATCATTATTTGTAGTTGTTGCTGAATTCGTTGTTGTTAATGAAGAGAGTTTTTCAAGAAGAATCGGTGATGACCAACGTCGTTTAGCTGCACGAACAATATTTTGAATAATTTCACTTGGTTTTGTTTCATTTGTAATTAGAGTTTCGGGATCAACTGGTGGATGATTTTTGACTGGAGGTAAACGTGGCATTTGAGGATTGATTTCTACAGGAATTTTCTCATAGGAATTATCATCAAAAAACCATTCGTACTAAATTGAAAATTCATAATTTGTTTCATTTTCATTAAAAAGAAGTTTCTTTACATATAAAATAAATGATTCAACAATTCGAATCTTTTCAGGATTATCAACAAGATTTGATTGTAGAGAAGCTTTGGAATCCCAGATTAGTGTCGGACCAAATATAATCGCTAAATTTCTTGCATCGATCTAGAAAATTTTCATTGAAAGAAAAAAGAGAATTTCGATTTCAACGATGAATTTACTTTGTTAATATCACATTTTGATGAAATTCTTCGAAAATGTGCACATAAATATTTCAATGTTTCGAACCGATAATCATCTAATTGAACAACAAGTCGTTTCAATTCAACTAAACGATCACAATGATTCTCTAATCGACTTGATTCAACACATAAACTACTCATTTCTAAAAAAGAGAAATGAAAATCAATTTCATTCAAATTCTTGAAAACCTACTTGATGATAAAAGTGAATCTGGTAATTTGGCAAAAAATGTTTTTAATGTCGATGCCACCGCTTTAATATCATACCATTTCTCTGAATTGAACTCGATTTTCTCCGATCCTTTATCTAATTCATTAACTAACCAATTGACCGCAGTTAATCCTCCGGCATGTCGATAAATTCCTTGATAATTCATTCCACGTAATTCGACAAGTCGTGTTAAAATTTCGACAACAATCGGAATATATCGTGAAATAGATGATGTTTCACATTCTTCTAATTCAATACCAAAATTAACTCCTTGTGAAATTGTTCCAATACCCGATGGTGATGTTAATGTTTCTCCACTACTTTCATCATAGATTTGTCCACTCATTTGACTTGTTAATAAAGATGATGAAGATTTCAACGTACGAAGGCCTTTTTTCACAATTGATTTAACAAATGATCGACGAGGTGATGCAGTAACATTAACTTCATTTGGAGGAGAATTTGTTCCACTCATTGTAATGATCGATTGAGTCGGTTGACTTATGGAAGATTTTTGAGATTTACGGAAACGAAGACTTGGAGAACGTTTTAATGATGGACTTCGAAGAGATATTTTAGATTTTGTATTGGATTTACGTTGTTCAAGACTTCTAAAAAGTACAAAAAAATAATTTGAAAAGAAAAAAGTACAACTAATATGTGGAACATGACTTTTCTCTCATATCTAATAAAGCTGACATTGATAAATGACAACTTACTCGTGTTCATGATGTGTTGACGGTACCATAGGTGGTAATAAAGCTAATTTTGATTTCGTTTCATCTTTCATCTCATTATTATCTTGTAATGAATCAGATTGTAAACAATTATCATTAATAACATCTAACCATTCATTCAATGATTGAATATCTGGTGCTTGAAATAAAAATTCACTTTGATTCGATGTTGTTACTTTGAAAACACGTGGCTTTTTAATATAATCACTTGCTAATTCCACATCAGCATTTTGAAGATTAATTGGAAAGGAATCACATGAAAGTGGAATTAATAAACCATGTTTTTTCTCTTTGCCGAGAAATAGAGCACCACGTCGAAGAACTGCCCATGCTCCACGCCATGATCGATCGGGTGCACGTCGTCCGTCTTTTAATACAGTTTTACAATAGAGAATTCCTTCTTTTGTTGCTTCTAAATTATCCGTTAATGTTGTTAATGGAATTGATTCACGAGGATTTGTTGTTCCTTCGAGTGTTGAACCATCGAATATTGAATCAGATTTTGATCTTCCACCTGATGATGATGGAGGAGATAATGGAGATTGAGATAATGATGGGCGATGATCAATTTCAGTTGAGAGTGGTGCCTAAAACGAGAAATGTTGAGAGAAAACTTTTCGAGAGACGAGCTTTTGCTTTTACATTTTCGCCAAAGAAATGTTTTAATTTTTTAATCGCTTGGGCCTGATGTTGAGAAGAATTTCTTGAAAAAAGAAAAACGATAAGAAAACTTGAGAAATGGGAGATAGTCGAAACCTTAGTTTTTGATCTGGGAGAATGTCATATGTATTTGTAGATCTTGTCATCGGTTGATTATTGAAATTCGTTGGTATATATCCACCACGAGTTGAAGATAAATGTTGATCGGTGCTTAAGATGTAAGATTGAGGACGTTGTTTCATTTCTTGTTCGGATGTTGGTGGACTTCCGAATTGTGTAACTATTGGTAAAAATGAAGATAAGTTTTAGGAGAAGAAGAAAGTCAATTGCATTTACCGAAATCTGGTTGTTCATGTTGATTTGCTGATCGAACAGCAGTGATATAAGATTGTTGACGAATTAAATTCATTCCCGTTCGAGATGTTGATGGGAGATTTGAATAATTTTCCAATGAATATCGTGAACTACACAAACAATCGGATAAGAAAGAGAAAAATTCTTATAAAATTCTAAACCTTTCAGACGATGGTAATGGATTATAGTGTGAGGATGATGTTGATTGAGATTGATTGGATCGAACTGGTTGAATCATATAACGAGGATCAAAATTAAACTCAATACTATTTAATTCACCAACTAGAACAATAAAACATTGATGTTTAGTAGGGAAAACAGTCGAGTATTTATAGGAGAAATTTGCCGAGCAGATGTTTTGTTTCTCTTCTTGTCTCGATAGAAAGGCTAATGAGTATAAAGAAGGTGTTTGTCGAATGAAAAAATCAGGAAAAAAAGCAGATTCGATATGGAAAAGTTATTTAAAGTAACAAATGTCACTAAATTTAGACAATGAACTAAACAAACCTCTTGGAATAGGTAATGAAGATGACAAATCAATCGACGATTGTCGTGCTGTTGGTTTCAATAGTTTATATTGATTTTGCGAATCATAAAGGCAATTTGGATTGAAATCGTAATGAAAATTGTCTTGTAAATCGAGATTATCATGTGCTGGTGGAGATGTTGGAAGTTTAGATTTTAATCGTGCAAATTTATCTGGATCAATATCTTCGAAATGTGATGCACGTTCCATAACAGATTCGACGTCAGCTACAGCAGTAAGACGATTCCATTCATTTTCATATTTTTTCTTTTCAGAATATTTTTTCGTTTTCGATTCACGTTGAGGATCACGAACGATATTTTCAACATGACCTGTTTCGAATTGTTTCTTACGAAAATTAACAAACTCGGTTTTCATGTCATTGTCATTTAACGGAGATTTTTCATTCGATGCAATTTGAGATCGAGTTTCCGTAGTGGCCGAATCTGTTGATGGAGATTTTAATTCTTCATGAGATTCAATTAATGAAGTTGAAACAGGTGACGAAAAATGTGTTGGACGAGACCAATCATCATAACGATTCGATGGAGTATTTACATAGGGATTTAATACTGGAATATCTAAATTATTTTCATATCTTATCTGTTTGATATGCAGAGAATTTCTCAAGATAAAATTCATCGTTTTCTTTCCTACTAGATCTAATGAGAAGAACATTTACAAGACGTACTTTGTCGTGGAGGAACTGGTGGTCGAATAATATTCGTTAGATAATTTCTTTGCTCATTTGGTTGATTGAAATTGATTTGAAATGATGGTTGTCGTTTATAATCATGTGGAATATAATCATTATGATAAGGTGATTCATAGTAAAGATTCGAAGAATCTCCTTTATTTTGAGATGTTGATTGTTGTTGCTGTTGTTGTGGTGGTGGCGGTGGAGGTGGTTGCGACTGTTGTTGTTGCTTCGATGAATCTAAAGCTCGATGAACTGAATCAATGTAGTTTGAAAAAGCATTTGGTTGTTGTGATGAAGATGGTGCTGATGTTGAAGTTGGCGGAGGAAAATAAATTCCAACATGAGCAAGTTCTTCTGGTGTTCGACCTTGAGCTAAATTGATTTGTAGATTTCGTAATTTCTGTTCAATTGTATTATTTGTTGCCATGATTGGTGCTGATTGATATGGTGATGAACGTGAATATTGAAGTGATTTCAATCGGGAGGAATTGAGATTTTGATAAAGATTTTCTGATGAATTCTATTCGAAAAACAACAAATGAAAATAAAATGAGAATAAAGAAACATACAAGAATTGTACGAGTGTCATCTTCTTTTGGTATTATATTAAGAATAAGTTCTGTAGGACTGAAAAAAAAACGAGAAGAAAGAAAGGGTTAACCTTTTCCTCAAAGAAAATATGTTGAGAAAGACAAAAAAAGAAGAACTAACATATTCTGAATCAAGGCAATAACTTGCGAATAAGTTTTTCCATTTATTGATTGATCATTGACAGTTAAAATTTGATCACCTTGTCTTAGACCAGCGGCATAAGCTGGACCATCTTGTCGAACTTCTTTGACAAAGATTGTATCCATTGATTGAAGATTTGGATTGGGATTAGTTGACACTGTTGTTCCATCATCTTGGATATTATCTGGAACAAAAACAGATTTTTTCTTTGCGACATAGAATATCTCTCATCAATCAATACACAGAAAAGCAAAATATCCGTGGAAAAATCTCTTCTGTTCTGTTCTTTTTTTCCTCGCTTCGTTCTCTTTTCTTTCTCGTCTCTGATTTGTTTCTTACCGGTTCCGACAGTTTTCATCGGAGAAGAAGAAGAAGATGATAATGATGAAGATCCTTGTTGTTCTCCTTGATGATGGATACGACTACCCGATGATGATGATGTTGATAAAATACTTGGAGAAACTATTGACGATGTTGTACCAGTAGTATTTGTAGTAATACCTCCTCCTCCTCCACCACCACCACTTCCTTCCAATTGCTTTTGCTGATGTTCATCGATCACCACACTGTACGAAGCCTATCACATTACATAAAACATGTTTAGTTTAACCTTCGACACTTTCTGGAATGACGTCATTCGTTTTTCCTTCTCGTCTCGAGGACAATGATTAATTCTATTAGAAGAAATAAATTGTTAGTCGAATCTCCGTTAAAGATAAAAGAAACCTTGAAAACGAGTTCTTTTGGGTTTTTGTTCGAAATATTCAACTAGAGGTTATTCATTCGAAGTAATTGATCCGAAGAAGAAAAAAAAAAGAATCAAGTGAAAATTTACTCGTTTAGTCGTTTTTTTAGATCTAAAAGAGAATTTTTTTTTGTATCGAGATTTGCCATTGATTAATCGGGAGAAAAAAATGAGTTAAAATCGAATTTTTACCCGTAAAATATCATTGACAGAAACTGATGGTGGATAAATAACAAAATGACGAATTGTAAAACCAAAACCACCGCCTGCGAAATCGCTTGAACGTCGAATAACCAATTTCTTAGGTTTGATCATTTCCTATTCGTATTTCAATCAATAATTTCTAAAGTAAAACATATGAAATTCTTTGTTAGATTCGATGCATCGTCTCTTTACCTATAAGAAAGCCGAGAATAATAAGAAAGATCGTCGTAGAACATTGTATGTTATGATTAGTGATGATATTCTTCTGAAACAAAGAGAAAAAGAACATTGTTCTATTTATTCTTTTGTCGCTGTTATTATCAGACAAACAGAAAAAAAAACAGAAAAGTGTCAAAATATCGAACAAACAATGTCGAAATCCTAATTAATTCTCCTCGAAAGAACATTCGTTTTGTTATGAAACAAAACAAAAAATCTTTCTATTTTTAATATACGTGAAAAGAAAAAGAAAACAAATGAATATCAATCCAAAGAAAAAAATTAACCTTGGATACACATGTCAATACCGAATCGTGTTATTCTCTCTCTCTAGTAAACGAGTGTATCATCTATATAAAGATGATTACAAGACATAATTGAATGCAGATACACAGATTCGAGAAGAATGCAGCGAATTATTAGTTGTTTGATACGGCTGATTCATATGCTTATTTATTTATCTAAATAAGTTGAGATTTCAAAAGGAAAAAATGTCTTTTGAAAAAGAAAATCAATTAGAAATCATGATGATCAAGGACAAAAAGCGATTTCTTTTTTATTTCAAATGAATTACCATATCAAATGTGCGTCTTTTCTCTTTCGTCTTACTTTGAATGAGACAGACACAAATGTGAATATACCTTAAGGAATCGAAAAATAAAACAAATACGTTTGTCTGATTAGAAATTTACTGGACAAAAGGTTATGTGTTCAAGTTTATATTGAATTATATTTGAAAAGAATTTCTTTTTTTTTCTTCTATTTTATACCAAAAGACACTTCTTTAACAAGGACAACAGAAAAGAGAGAATTGTTCAGACATTTTCATTTTCATCGAACATCTAATCAGTGAAGAATTAGAAAGAATAAAAACTTGTCCTTGAATGACTTAGTAGAAATGCAATAATAAGAAAAACACGCATGATTAAATTGAATGAAGAAGACTAAGTGAGTTTTTGTCAATTAACTAAAATAACAAATGAAGAACTAATTTATCTTTCTTTACTTTCATATTGACAATCTTGTTAAACTTTTTTCAATAAGAAGAAACATTAGAAAAGCATCGATGTCTCGTCTGTTGATAACAGAAAAATGAAAGAATTACAAAATGTAAAACAGATTTCTCATGTCTAAATATATCTTTATGCCAATCATCAGTGAAAAGTTATTTCTTAATCATATTTATTAGATTTTCTTCGAAAACAATCGAGTTAAGTTATTTTTAATTAGACAAATTCTTCGTGAAATGATCAATTCTATTTTATTGATTGAATAATTGTACTCACTCGAGTTCTATTTGGATCGATAAATAAAAAAAAGACAATCTATTAAGACGTTTTGTTTATAGATAAATAAGAGTTGGTTTTGCTTGGTGTTTCGACGTAGTTAAATAAGGACGTGTCAATGATAATGTCTTCTTTCCTACTGTCGTTTATCCTTTTCTTTTCTGTAGATCTTATTGGCATCTTCCCGGGCTCTTTTTCTCTTTTGGACAGACACTATCAACATCATTGCCGCGTTTAGACAGATCTATTTGCTGTTACTGTTGTTATTCGTCTTTCTTCTGTCTTCGAGATCAATAGAGGAAGAAATGATGTCATCTATTCGACACATTTAGAAAGAAAACTATCAAGTGGTCTTTATCCATACTCAACAGTTCTCTTTCGAATCGGCCTGATCGTTATACGTAGTCAAGTTTGAAAAAGAATCGATTTATATCGTCGAATATGTTCCGAAAGGAAAACCCTCGATGTACTGAAACAAATCGGTCGAGTGAAAGAAAAGACAATAACATGTTGAGGGTATATAAAGACATTGAATCGATCGTTTTCTTGTGATTATTCGTATTTGAAAAATAACTTCGAAGAAAATGCCAAAAGTAACAAAAAAAAGTCAAACAGGCAAATCAACAAAACGTCGTCGTTCAGCTTATATTCTCTTTACAATTGAAAAACGAAAACAGCTCAAAGTAAAATTTCGTTTATCGATTATCAACGAACTCGATTGATTTTCTCTTTTAGCTGGAAAATCCAAGTTTACGTCCACAAGAAGTTCTAATGGAATTAGGTGCTCAATGGAAAGCTGCTGATGAACAGGTAAATATCGAGATTTTCTCTCGAGATTTTCATTGATTCGAATTTTTAGACGAAACAACATTATCAAAAATTGGCTGATAAAGAAAAAAACTCAAATGAAAATGCAAATATCAATCAATCGATGGAAGTCAATCAATCACAATAATTGTCCAATGATCTTTTCTTTTTGTACATTATTTTATTTATCTATTTGATTTTGTTTTATTTATTGTTGAAAATTCTCTATTGATATATTCGAAAATAAATCTGAATTGTTGAACAAATTTTGATTTGAAATACGATGAAATCGACGAGAAGAGAAATATTTCAATGTACTGGTTTATATGAATTGAAAAATACGAAATTTCTTTTGGAGATTCCAATGTTCAAAGACAAAGTACGAGTTATGGAAGAAATAAGACGATCGATGTAAATGTTGAAGTAACAATATTTGAAAATGTAAAATGAGATGAGATTTTGTTGATATGTAAACAGAAAATGAAAGATGATCTTGTTTTAACTAATCGAAGATGATTTGAAATGAAAATAAGAATCAGTTTTCTTTGTTTCGAATGCAAGAAGAAGAAAAGTTCAATTAAAGTAAACCTGATTGTCGTCATTCTCATTCAATATTGATTTAATGGAAAAAAAAACATTGTTCATACACGTATTTCCATTAGTTACGGAAATTAATCAAGTTTCCGTCGATTGTCGAGAAATGAAATTGTTTTTCTAACTAATATGTGTTTATTTAAGAAACTCGTGCATTTTTTTTTCTCTTAGACAAAATCGAAAACTTTATTAATTGTTCCATTTCTTTTCTTTTCCTCCAGGTCAACTTTCATCTCTAAAAGCAAAGTAAATCATATCTCGAAGAAAGATCATCGGTTATCGATGATCACTGATCTGTTTTATAGTGATAGGCGTTGTTTTTAATGATTGTCGCGCGTTCAGTTCATTGGTATGTCATTCTAATGATGCACTTAGAGCTTTTCGTGTTTATTGGTTGGACTTGATTCGATTAGAAATCGAACAGAAATGAAATATTCAATGATTAAATGAGTAAAAACAAAGATGAAAAGTTATTTGTCCTTAAGGCACATTGAACATAAAATGAAAAATTATCTCATTTTAATAGAAAGATATATTTGATCATATTTCATTGCAAATGAGAATATCTATATGTCAATAATCTTTTTTTTGGGTTTTTTCCTCTCTCTCTCTTTTGTTAGATGGTTATGTATGAAAGTATCGTATATCTATTCGATTTATTACTTATATCCTTTTGTATCGTATAAAAAAAGAGTATGATCAATCGAATCGTTTTGATTATGATTGTTATATGTGATATATAGAAAGGTGATCGATTATCATCTGTAATATTGGTGTAGAACATGTCGTTGTTATGTGTCTCACCTGTAGAAGTGTTTATTTTCAATCGTTTCGATGATGACAGGCTCGATTTTTTCTCTTCTTTTCTCTCTTTTACAAAGATAGAAATGATTGATCCATTGAGTAAATCATTTCGAATGATCAGGTAAAGAAAAGAAAAGAAAAAAAATTTGTTTGAATTATTATTCTCATTGAAAGATGACCGATGTGATGAAAAATTTGTTCATTGACTTTGAACAACGAACAGTTGAATATGTGGGAAAAGAAGAATTTTGATCATGTGATTTTTATTTTATCTGTATGAATAATACAATAAGAAAGAATGAAGAAAAGAAAAACGAAGAAGAAAAACACGAGAAAATATTCTTTATACAACAAAATGAATAATTATATCAAATGAATAGGATTATCTTCAAGAAGACAAAAAAGAAAATGAAGAAAACCGGGTTTTACATGGAAGAAGAAGAAAAGACGAATGTTTCGGGATGTTTTCTTTTATGAGAGTTGAGGTACTTTACCATCGTCTGTACGATTTAATTTATTTGGTGATGAATGATTATTTAGTTTTCTTTTCAAATTCTGATTTGATGATAAAGTTTGACATAAAATTCTTTCGATAGAATATGAACATTTATTTGTCGCAGGTGATATTGAAGATAATTCCGAGGAAGATGATGATGACGAGGATGAAGAAAATGAATTGGAAATCGTTTGATTTATCTCTGAAGATGTATGAGGATTTGAACATTTCTTTGCATCTTGTCGACGTTGTCTTTCATTTTGTTTTCGACGTTTCTTTTCTTCAGCTTCTAAACGTTTCTTCGCTAATTCTTCTTCTGAGATTGGATCACCTGAACATGTTGTTGGATGTGCATTATGTGGAGGACGACCTGGACCTTTCTTCGTATTTTCCATTTTTCTCCACTAAAAAAAAAATCAACAAAACATTTTCTTCTTCGAAATTTCACTTCATTTTTCTTTTACTTTAGCTCGTCGATTTTGAAACCAAACTTGAACACGTGATTCGATAAGATCAAGTCTCATCGCTAATGCTTCTCTCATATAAACATCTGGATAATGACCTAAACACAAACCTCATCAAAGTTTTGTTCACAATAAGAAAGATTTTGAACAAACCATCTTGAAATGCTCGTTCTAATTCATCTATTTGAATACTTGTAAAATTCGTTCGTGTTCGTCTTCGTTTACTATCTCGATCATTACTACTTCCGTCATCGCTTAGATTTGATCCTTGATCGTGATCATCGATTGAATTGTTTTTTTGTACTGCTGTTGTTGTTGTTGTTGATCGAGGTGAGGAAATCGTAATTGGTGATGAAGATTCATTTTGAATAGATAAACACAATGAATTCGTCGGTTTTGTCGGAGGAATTAATGGTTGGAGAAGAAATGGATTGAGAAAATGATTTCGAAGAGCATTCGAATAAAATTGTGAATTATAAAAATTATTTGTTGAAGAATTTGTTGGAAGATTTAAAAACATTGATGAAGAATTTGATCGATTAAATGGACTTGTCGACATAGGGCAAGTTTTCAATTATTTCTTGATAGAAATTGCTTATTAACTATTAGAGAAAATAGAGAATAGAGAAAGAGAGAGAGAGAGAGAGAGAGAGAGACAACAAACTTCTTTATATCTTTGAATAGAAAGACGATTAATAAAATACATTGATGTTATTTTCTTTAATTTACATCGAAAGAGAAAGAAAGAGAGGGAGAGAGAAAGAATGGGGGAAAAAAAGAATTGATTCACATGAACCAATGAGATTTGATTTGATTTTGTCATTCATTGGTTTATTTGAATATTCACAAGAAAAGAGAAAAGAAAAAGAGAAAGAGAAAGAAAATTTTTTGCCTTGAAAAGCGATACACGACAACGAGTAAAGACAATCGACTAAGCGAGTATAAGTCATACTTCAATCTATTGTATTAATAAAAGATACGTTTTTTCTTCTCTCGTTGATTCGATAAAAACATCAAACGAATATACAAAGATATTTGTGTATCTATAATTTCATTTACGAAAATTACCAACAAATAATTGAAGGGAGGATGATAGAAAAAAAAAACAACGCAAAAACATATTTATTTCGTCAATGTCTATTAATCATGATCTACTAATCGATAGAAAGTTATTTCATATTTGATAAAAATCAATTGAATTGTCTAGATGATAATGATTAAGAGGGAGGAGACGGAGAAACACACGAGTAGGGAAAAAAAAGACTCGTTAAAAGTGTCAATTAGTTGAGAATGTTGATGAATAGAAGAAAAAGTTGTTTTGTGATCGAAGCAATTAAATTTATCGATTCTTTTCTTTATTTTTCTCTTCACCAGTCATATTAAAACATGCAAACGTTTTCTTTCATTTGAGAATAGAAAATTGAGTAAATATAATTAAGACAATCTGTCAAAGATGTGAATGATGTGTACATATAATTTAATCGTTTGTAGAATAACATCAAAAATGATTATTTACATACAGATTTCAAATTTCGATATTGACTCAAGACGAGAAAGAGAAGAATTGATCCTACGAATCATTTCAAATACACTTTTCAAAAATCATATCGATTCTTTTTCAAACACATTTTCTCTTCAACAAATTCACAACAACTTGTCTTTTTTCAAAAGATCGATACTCATCGATCTCAATTGTTTTCATAACACTTTTCCATCTGGATTTTCTTATTTAAACGAGAAACATCTTCAGACTTATCCTCAATATTGGTCCATCACGATACAATCGAATGAATTTTCTCCTACAAATACGAACAAATTTCAATCGCGAATTGATCATCGAATGACGAATGTTATTTTTAGAAGAGAATTCATTGATGTTCATCGATTTGACAGGCTACCCAATTAAAATTTTGAACGCGAGAACAAGTCATTCAATGTTTTCTCTTCATTTATTAACAATCGATCACCAAAGAAAAACACACACACACATACATTTCTAATTGATCATCATTTGATGAAGTGATTCAATTTCTATGTACGTGTGTCGATAGATTATTAAATGGTCATCATTACAGTTCGTGCTTTTTTTTCAGCAGTCATTCTCGCCCCGTTTTTTTTAATCTGTCACTAGAGAGTTCTTTCTATTACACACAAAGGAGCAATAGATAATCAAACTAAAAAGAAAAAGCCGAATAAAAAAACGAGCAAAGCTCATTATTTATTTACATACAAAGTGCCAAATTAATAATGAATTAACTGTCATTTCAACGCGCCTTCCGATAGATAACACAAGAAGACTAACTAAAAAAACGTCCATACATACAAAATAGATAATAGATTCTAAATGTGTTTGTTCCGATGATAATCATCATTGACAGAAGCTGATTCTAGTATCGTCTTTATCTATTCAACATACAAACGAAGAAAAAAAAAGGAAATTTGCAAGTCAATTGATTATTAAATAATATGTCTGATGAGATTCAAAGAGAGAAAAATCACGAAGTCATCATTGTTTTATTTTCAGAAACATCGTCAATTTTTTCTTTAATTAATCTTCTCTTTTTTTACAGTTAAATTTGTATTCTTTTTCATCCCATATGATCAAATAGAAGTAGTAGTTCACGAAAAATCTCTTGTTGACAGAGAAATTCTTATCCGGAAATGAAAATTCGTCGTTTTCCTATCGACAAAATCAACTCATGTTTTGGAAGAGTATAATTAAAGCATAGAAATACCACGAACAACTTTGTTTATAGGCGGATACAACAAAAACAGAATTGACAGAGAAAAATTAGGTCGAAATTAATGTCCAATCCATTATATGAATAAAGGACGTCATGAACACATATTATCAGTGGAAATCATGTCCAAATTTTGTCGTTATCATCTTGCAATAGCGGTAAAATTGTTACTTAAAGTTGAATAATAAAAGCCTAAATAGTTACATCGAATATGAAAATCAATCGATGCTGAAAAGAAAGAGTGTGCATTGAAAATGATTTCTTTTATTCTTTTGTTGTTCACATCGTTGTCTCATTGTTTGAGAAAGTTTCAAAATTCATATTTTATTATTCGAACAGAATTCGTATTGCATAAAATATTATTTCTGTTAGCTTCATAGTAAATACAAATGAAGACATTTTCAGTCTGTTGATTTGCAATATCAACCGTAAAAATTGTTAAGCAAAGTCTTATTCGAATGTAAAAAAACTAGTTCGCGAAGCTGAACTATGAGAGACTCGATCATTCACATTTATTTTGAAAGATATGTTCGACACTTCTTCACCAAACGAGAAAGTACTTCGAAGTGAATTCTTGTCAGAAACTATCGGTATGTCGACAGCATTAGATAACAATTGCCTTTTCCACTTGAACCTTCGTATTTAGATTCTATCGAATTCAAATTTCTAGTTTATTCAAGTGTACTAATCAAAATTTATTTGTATTATGGCAACTTTTATTGGTGAAAACTTATTAAAGAACAAATAGTACAATAATGATGTTCTTGAACTTTTTGTTTTATTTGAAACTTGATTTTTTCCTTTACGTATACAATAGGTTGGATGAGGGTGTGAACTATTATTTTACATTTTAAAGAGAGATGAATAATCGAAATATTTAATGAATGGGCACTATGAATTATGAAGAAATAAAGATATTCTGTTGTGAAGTATTGTCTATATAATCTCTCATATCCTTTCAATCAAAGAAGTCATCCATGTTTTACTATGTCTTTTTTTTTACAATAGCTACGCAAAATTTTCGCGATAATTAGTAGAAAACTTCAATTCTGTAGAATAAAAGCTATAATTTCAGAATAAACTAGTTCCTACCAGTAGAAATACTGTTTTTTTTCAATTATTTCTATCAAATGTCACATGTTGGTGCAAATTTGTATTAAAAGAAGTTCTAAGAGAAATGAAAAGTAGACATCTTCACATTTCATTTAAAATAGTTTTCAATGCGATTGAATCATACAGCAGAGATCTGTACGACAAACCATTTCGATCTCATATTTGAAAAGAGAGAAAACTGAATTATTTAGACAAAAATTCTTTTGGCTATTTCTTGGTGTACATTAGAGATTTCTAAGAATTTGTTATTTGTTGATCTGGAGTATTTGAAAATATTTGATGTGAATACAATTAGAGATTATCGATCGATAGATGGCACTTTAAAATGGATTTCAGTCATATTTTAGTGTTTTTCTCTGTCGAAATCATAATCCTGATTGGAAAGCCAAATTGATTTGAAGAGAAATGTGAATAACTCGGAAATAAAAATGAAAACATTGTGCAATTTAACATGTGATTGGTAGAAGCTAATCGAATGGTTGATTTCGTTACTTTCCTAATATATAAGAAAGAGAGAAATCAATACATCAATTGAAACTATGACTGAATTAGCGAAACAACGATGGCGTATGCTTGGAGAAGTAAAATATGATTAAAATTAATAAAAGTTTTCAAAGATACAACTCGTCTCTAGATTCTCCTAAGCAAAAATCTTCAGTCGTCAAGTGAACATGAAGATATATCTGTGATGCGATTTAAAACTTATGGGTTATATCTTCGAAGTTTTTCATCAGCAAGTGATAATGATGATGATGATGGAACTTGGTGTAGAATAGAATTTCCCTCATTTGAAGATAATCAATCCAATATTCTCTCGTTGGACATTCGGTTTGTTTTCGGTTTTTTAACGAATTTTATTCTTATTTCGAGTAATCTAATTAGATTATGTTCAACTAAAATTGAATATGCAGATCTGATTGGATTCAATAATACAGGAAATACTTGTAAAACTCAGTTTCAAATCATTCTTCCATTAAAAGTTTCTATTTGTTATTCAGGTATATGGCCATCGGAAGAAGTTCTTGCATTTTATTGTTTAAAAGAAAAAGAAATATTTGAGTAAAATCTTTTTGATATAAAAAGAAAGAAAGAGAAATGTTCTATTTAGGAATCGAAGTGTATGCGAATTGGGTGGTGGTATGACTTGTTTAGCTGGACTTGCTGTGAGTAGAAGAATATTTTTGTTAGAAAAGAATTTCAATGAAAAACACTTTTCTGCATGAAACAATCTTTTCTTTTTTTGCACGTTTATCAATTATCAGTTGGCTCGATCGATTTCGCTCAAAGAGTTTGTTGCTACTGATGGAAATGAAAAAAGCATTGCTAGTATTGATTTCATATTTCTGATCATTTTCAATTTTGAATTCAATTCAATTTCATTTCTTTGTTAAGATTTAAATCAAATTTTAAAACACAAAGAAAATCAAAAGAATTGGTTATGTCCAATTAAACCCAAAGTTTTGATCTGGAGTCGAACATTGAATGATCCAACTTTGAAAGAACGTTTTGATTTTATCATCTCTGCCGATTGGTAACGAACAAAACTGAAAACTTCTCTTCTATCAATTCGTCTTTTATTTAGTTTTTTCTTCGAAAATCTTCATCATGATCTTTGTCACACAATTTATTACATGTTAAAAGATTCTGTAAGTAATTCATCGTTAATTCTTTCGTAAAATCTTGACATTTGTCATGAAAAGGGTGTTGCTATCAATTTCGCTCCATATCGTTCGAAAACATTGAATAAATTTGTATCCATTGCTGAAACATATCCATTTGAATGTCGTGTATTGGAACATTATGATCAAGAAGTCTTTGATAAACATTTACAAGTAAATTCCATAAAAATCTCAAGAGAAATATTTTCTCATTTGTTTTCGATTTAGTGTCAACAAATCAATAAATCTTATACAAGTGATCTTCATTATCCCATTCTCGTTATTTTACGTAAACGTTCTGAAAAATGATCGTGATCTTTTTCCCCAAATAATCATTCCATGCATTTGAAGAATAAAATTTTATTTTGATGTTGTTTTGTGAATATTTTAGATGAAATTATCACGTCATAAATTCGTTCGTCGATTGTTAAATTATTATCGAACACATTTTCATATCGATGTGCCTTTTATCATCTTGATCGATGGAACATTTGCTTTCGAAGCACTTCAATGGAAAATTCAAATCGATGAACAATTGAAAGCATATTTAGAAACTGATCAGATCAAATGTTCAACAACACTTTGTGCAATCAGAGAAACAGAATTATTAGGTAAAATCGCATTTGGTGCGATGTTAATCTTAAAACAATACGAAATCATCCGATGTGATCATCATCCAGCAATTTCAGCTGAGAAATGTTTTCAACATGTGTTAAGAAAAGATTCAACAAAACAATATTTTCTCGCTTCACAAGTTCGTTCATTTGATTCGTCGAGAAAAAGATGTTCATTTCGAAAGTTTTAGTCGTTATCGTTACGTGAATATAGTCGTGAACATCGTCCAGATCTTCCAACAATGTTAATTACACACAATGCAATCAATTTGGAACGTCCGTCATTGTTGAGTCATTCAATCGTCGATGAAAATAAGAAGGAACGATTGAAAGTTAGTAAACATGAATCGAATGTTTTGAAAAAGATTAAAGAAGAACTTCATCTTGATGAAGACAAAAATGGAATTCCAAAGAAGAAAAAGAAGAAAGCTGGTGTGAATCCTTTGTCGAATAAAAAGAAGAAGAAAAAATCTTTGAAAACTCAATCAGTTAATGGCAAAAGAAAACGACGTCGAACACGACAAATTCGGATGTCTTCACATTTGAAAGAACATTTAAAAGAATTACAAAAAACTTTTTCAATTAAAGATTTTTTTCAACAAAAAACTTTCTTTTAGATATTTTCTCTTTGAAAAAGCATGTTATCATTATTTCTTCTTGCTATTCATTCACTTAAAATCTCAATTCCAATCGTATCTTTGTACGGTTCCGCACCGACATTCTTCACATTATGGTCATTTTTACGTCTATTTACTTTACCGTTACCTGCACATGTCTATCGACAATGTGATGATCATTTATATTCGATTTATCAAAGATTTGTGTTGTTTTTCTTTCAAAATTGGCTCCAAGTGAAAGTAAGGACAATTATCTCTGTTCGATTTGTTTTCAATTGTGATAAACAGATCTGTTTTTTGTTTATCAGAACTGTTCTGCAGACATGAGATAAACATATGTGCTAATGGAAAAGACGAGTTCGCATTTCTATTTAGATTTATGTTCATGGCGATTATAAACAAATCTTCGAAAAGAAAGAAAATGTTTTATATTTATCAAATCATCAAAGTTCACGTAGGAGTCTCAAGAAGTTTCTTTCAAATAAATTCAATTGAAATTTAGTGGATTGGATCGTTGCCAATATGTTGGCGATTCATCAAGGAAGTCTTGGACATATTCGATATGTGTTGAAAAATGAGTTAAAATACATTCCATTTTATGGATTTTATTTTCAACAAGTAAAGATTTGATGAATAAGATTTGATAAGACGGAGAATTTGAATAAATTTAGCATGGATGTATTTATGTTCATCGAAACGATAAAGGAGATCTGAGTCGTGTGGAAAATGGAATGAAACGAGTGATTAAAAATGGTTTACCTATTTGGTTGGTGATATTTCCTGAAGGAACACGATTTAATCCAATTAGCAATCAAAATGCAATTCAAAGATCAAATTTATTTGCTAAAGAAAAAGGTTTTTCACCATTTGAATATGTTCTTTATCCTCGATCAGGTGCGACAGTTGCTGCGATAAAAGCTTTAAATGACCAAATTGATGCAGTTTATGATATTACTCTTATGTATAATCAAACTTATGATGAACAAAATCAGATTCGTTTAGCTGCACCATCAATGTTCGGTAAACGACAATTTTTTTTGGTTAATTTCTTGAAATCATTCTGTTTTTTCAGAGTATTTACAAGGTCAAACAAATGAATTGCATATTGATATAAGACGAATAGCAATGAATGAGATTCCTCATGAAACAAATGAAGAAATATCTCAATGGCTTTATCAAAGATTTCAATCAAAAGATCAGTAAGAATTACATTAAATATGATTTGAATTGAATTGATGAATATTTCTTTTAGATTATTGAAAAGATTTTATGATTTTCAACAAAAGAAAAACTTGCCGTCAGAAATATTTTCTTCGGATGAAATCGATCATCCTCAAGAACTCGAATTATCATACAAAGAAACTCTTCCATCTTGTTTATTCCTGACATTGACAACACTTCCATTGATATTAAATGAACATGGACGTTCAATCTATTGTAAACTTTGTTTATTTGTTCCACCGATAACACTTCTATGGATGCATTTATTTTCTTCGTCGAGAAAGATTTAAAACTGTCGTCAGATAAAACCTTTCATCGACTAAACAATGAATCGCAGTAGAGTCTCTTTCATCGAAAAATTCAGTGATTAGTAATCTTTCATAGTTTTGTTTTTTTGTTATAAAATAAAGTTTATTTTCGTTTAATAGGAATTGATTCTTTTCAATGATGTCATTAACTGTGTGAAATTTCTTTTTTAGATGATGGGTTCACCGAATAATGGCGGTGGAGGTGAAGAAGATGATAAATGTGTTCCACGAGCTGCTGTATATAAAATGATTAAAGATTGTACACCACAAATTCGTGTGTCAGGCGAAGCAAAGGAATTCTTTGTTCAATGTTGTAATGAATTTATTCATACATTAGCTTTACAAGCCAATGCTGTTTGTGAACAACAAGCCAAGAAACTTATTCATCCTGATCATATTGTTACTGGTAGGAAATGCCTGAGAGAGCCAATGAATACATCGAGGTTTTTTTTCCGTTTAGCTTTGGATAATTTGGGATTTACATCTTATAAAACGAATTGTTTGAATGCAATGGAAACCGCCCAAGAAGAAATGGCACAGAAACGAAAGAAACTTCATGGGAAACCAACATCTCTTTATTCTCAAGAAGAATTACGACGACAACAGGAACTGCTTTTTGAACAAGTACATTCCACCTTGCTTCTTTTACTTTCTATTTTCGCATTTGATTTAGGCACGTGAAGAATTACAACAACTCGAAGAAGATGATTGGGCTAAGACACAGGAATTATCCAAGGAAGTTTTGCGAAAAAAAATGGAAGCAACACGAACTGATGATGATAATTATGACGATTAATTCCCTTTTCTTCTTTTTTTCATCTGTAAAATATATCTATTGACATCATTTGTTAACAAATATAACAATCGTTTTCTTTGTGAAAGTCAGAAAGTATTAAACAAATCCAAATGAAAGATGAAAAAATCAATTCCTATTGACAGTATCCTAAAGAAGGCATCGTGCTTAAACGAATATATTTCTCATTAATCTAATCGGTCTTTGCAGAAACAAATGTGAATTTTTATTGAAAGAAATAGAAACTGGTTCATAATTGTTTCAGTGATTTCAAGCTTCTCTGAGCGCATGGTGATTCATTGGAGATTTCATCTCTGTGTGGATGTTGAGAGGTTATGGTGTAAGTAGCGGTGAGTTGCCTGGTTTCTGAGGGAGAACGAAGATGAACATTTTAGGCATATCTATTTGGGACATTTTACACGGAGAGTTGGCTTCGTGTTAAATTGAGCACAAGAAGCTGCTGTGACAGAAACCGTAATGTCCGACGTATAGGGGCGATGGGTTTCGTTGTGTTTTTCGTCCATATATATATATGCATAATATAGAAGAAAGCTTGTTTGCTCGTTCGCTATGCGTTCAGTGCCTGTAATAGCTCCCGTCGGCCCTCTGAGCGCTCGTACCCAAAACTCGAATACTGGAATCCAAGTTTCGAGTTTGACACTACTGGTTGAATCAAACTTTCCAATGAAATACAACAACGCCTGATAATTATTCAAATGAATAAGATTTTCTTTTAGCAAATCTAGTCAATAACCGGTACTTGAACAGCACTCAATGTTTGTTAAACTAACTGGATTATTCATTTAATTCTTTAGACACGCGAAGAATTAGAAGAACTAAAAAAAGCCGAATGGGCTGAAACACAAGAACTATCCAGGGAAGTTTATCATTTATTAACAAATATAACAATGGTTTTCTTTCCTTTTCTCTGTTTCAAGGTCAAAAAGTAGTGCATGGGTACATGAGAAAGATGAAGAATTTGTTGACAACATTCTCAAAAGAGCATCGTACTCAAACAAATACGCTTCCTTATTAATCGATCGGCTTTCGCGTCAACACGAATGTGAGAGAAGGATATAGAGTTGTCCTTTTCGATCTCTAAGTGACAAATGATTTCTTTTTCTCTTGGTAAACATCAATAATTGAATTAATCGATGCGACACTGAATGAAACAGAAACTCCTTTTAAGTTACATGTCGGAATAATGTTGATTTTCGAAGAAGAACACAACAGTGAATGAGATTTTATCATGACGTGACCAACTGAGCAGGAGCGCGATATTGACTCATGACGAATCTCGTTTGAACATGATTTGATTATCAATCATGTCGAGAAAAGGATCCGATTATGTTTGTCTCGTCGCCTATCACCAGATCTAATTCACATATTTATACGAAAAGAAATTTTTTGACCGAGATAAAAATGTTTTTAAAAGCGAGACGAAAGTTTTTGTTCAATATGGCGTAAAGTACAGGATTAATTGACGAATTTGAATAGCCCAACCAAACAAAGAATTCAATGGCATTAAAACTTAAACAAAGGCAAACAGCTCGTATAATATACAAAGTAAAGAATGGTAACCAGCAACAAATAAAACATCCGATCACAACTGCTAATGATCGAGTAACGCGAGCTTCAGCAGTAATTTCTCGACGTCGTAATTGTTGTTGATCGTTATGTTGAATATCGTCAGTAATGAATGAACTTTGAGACATTTTCGAACCACTTTGATGACGAAAAAGTTTCGATTTAGATGGAGTTTGATTTGTTGAAGATTTGAAACAACATCGAGGAAAGGATTTTTTATTTGATGATTCGCGGATTGATGACGAAGAATCTCGAGATTTTTCATTTAGATCTTTGAAAATACAGACAAAACGATTTTGCAAAAGTACAGATCGTTTCTTCTACTCACCGGATATTGTTGTTCGATTTGTATTTTTCTTAATAAGACTTGTTGTTATTAGTGATTTCTTTTTCATTTTCAACGATTGTTGTCGAATTGCATACAAAACTTTGATATATAAAAAGATCATAATAACCAATGGAAAATAAAATGAAAGTAATGAACTGATGACAACAAAATTCAAATCTTTAAATAATTCACATTGACGATTATTTGCTGTGTATTTTGTTGGTGAAATATAAATTGTTGTGTTTTGAATTTCTGAGAACATCGGAACTTTCTTTTCAAAGAATAATGTTGGTAATAAACATATGGCAATTGAAACAAACCAAGCCACACAAATATAAATCAATGCCAAACGAATCGAATGACGATGATGTCGATAACGAATAGGATAATTCGTCGCAATATATCGATCAAATGCGATCATTAATAAACCCTAAATGAAGATTTGAATCCGAATCTAAGAATGAAAAGTCGATTTGTTTTACCCAAATTGATGCTGTAGAACAAAGAACATCGATAACTAACCAAATTTCACAAAGATATTTTCCAAAATACCAAAATCCAAATGTAGAATACGATGCTGAAAATGGTAAAACAGCGATACCCAAAAGAAGATCACTTATGGCTAAGTTAATTATCAAATAATTCGACATTCCACCTTGTCGAATCTTTTTATCGGTAACAAAAGCAAGAATAACTAAAATATTTCCAAGAATTGTCCAAATAGTAATTGTGAAAAGAATAATTCCCAAAAATATCGAAATAAACATCGATGAAGTTGAAAGTAATTGAGATGAATTATCAAAAAATGTGGAAAAAACCATTGTCTGATTTGTTCCTAACATAAAGAAATCGTTATTGTCATAATGATCGTTATTCGGAGAAGAGAATATATAAGAAATATTATTATTCGCGTTGTTCTTTTCATCCGTTTGTTTGTTCCAATGTAAAGAATGATTTGATGGTCCAGGAAGAAAATTTGCTTTGATGAAAAGCACCATTTTAACTGTAGAAGATGAGAACATCTCTTTCGATATTAGCTCTTCAGATAAATTTAATCAATTAACATTTCTGAAGAGAGAATAAGAGAGAGAAAGAGAGAAATGACTTTTTTTTAATGACTTTCATTTGATAAATACAAACAAAAGAAAAGATTGCTTTTTTTTTCTGCTCTTATTCTTATTAAAAATAATTTCAAAATTCTTTTATTTGATTCAATGAATGTTTCTAATTGATTGAAAGTTTAAATCATCTTTCAATTCTTCATTGAAATAAACAAATCTTTTGTAGAATATTTCAAGATTTCCTTAAGTTCCGTTTTGGTGACTTTGATCAATTGATCTTTTTCTCCGATCGATAAATCATCACTTAATAGAAATCTAAAACTAAATGTTTTCATGATTGATGTTGTTCAAAATCTCATCTGACAAGAGGAACAAACGTTTCTTCTTCTTTAGATCGAACTAATAAATCTTTTTCTTACTTTTGCTTTTTCATTTCTCTTTCCATTGACAATGTTGTCTTTCCGACATATTTGCTTGTCTATTTAACTGTAAATAATCGGATCGACATTGACATTACGATGAAGAAGAGAAAGAACGTTTTTCCGGAACGAGTAATATTATTATGACAAACGACGATCAACAACGAAGAGCATCTTTTCTTTCTTTCTTCGTTTCAGAAGAGAAATCTACAAGATAATTAATGAACTTATTAAGAAAGAAACATGAAATATATACTTTAGAGGAGAAAACAAATTGATAAATATTCGTGTTTTTCCTTATTTTTTATCGTTTCAATTAATATTTTTCTCATTGATCTAATTCTGCCCGATGACTTGTTTGATGAAAAAAAAAAGAAATGTTGAACTATGTTCATTTGATCTTCTCTTGAGACTTGTCGAACGAACAAATGTTTTCAAATAGAACTAATTTTCATTTGTAAATCTTGTTCATCGAAGTTGACCTTATTCCCCTGGGTTTACACAACTATTTCATATTTCAATTTGATAGAAGAGAAAAGCTTTTAAGACTCCAACTTGCACAATCAATTATCAATGAAAAATATACGTTTTTCTCTTCTTGTTGTTCGAAAGGTTAATGGAAAACTTCTATTTACATATAGAAAATCAATTCTTGGGAATGTTCTATTTATTATTCATCGTGTCAATTCCTTTTTTTCTCTTGGATTAAGTTCATTGATTTTAATGTTTCGGCAAGTACTCCGTTATGAGCGTACTTTTCTGCTATTTGAGATAATTTGTTTTTAAAAACTCGTTTTTTCAATGATGTAAACAATTACATGTTAAAGTACTTTTATTATTCACAATTTCTTTTGAGAAAACAACGGTTTGTCAGGCTTTTTTTCTCATAATGATGAGATTTTGCTCATAAATTAATCAACGTCGGATGAAGAAACGAGTTTTTTGATTTTAATGAGAGTCAATTTTAGTTTTTCTTTCAGTTTTCAACGCAATCGGAAATCGTCTTTCCATTTCCACATGAGAAGATTGTTTTTTGTTTATATGAAATATCATCATATAAATAAATATAGAAGATTCAATAAGATAAATAAATATATCGAAGGAAAAAAAAGAAATATTATAATGATAAATCAACTCATGTTGATAGAATTACATTTTGGGTTTTCAACGAATTTCTATGTTTAGATTTTGGAAATAATCTCTTCACAGAATTCACATCTACTAGATAAAGTTCTTCGATAATTCCATGAAAATGATGAGATTAATCATAAACTAAGATTTATGGAAGAAAAGAAAAACGATTTGTTGAATTTTGACTTCTGTTAAACATCGAAAAAAACATGAAACAATTCCATGGAAAGAAAAACACATGTGAAATCAATAGAAGAATTTCATGAAGTTTTTTATGTCTTAATACTTTGATATATTGTTTGAAAAAGTGGTTTATATTTCTTCTCAATTACAAATCTTCGTGCTTTGAATGTTGGTGTTAAAAGACCATTTTCAATTGTAAATGGTTCAGAAATAAATTCAATTGCTTTAACTTGTTCATAAGACATTAATCCACGTTTTTTCCCTTCATTTGTCATGTCTTCAAGTACAATTTGTTTTAATTTCGTATTCATTATTGACGATGATGTTGTTTGATTATCAAAACCTTCACGTATTTTCCATTGTTTCACATAATCATCATTTAAGATGATAATTGCAACGAGGAAACTTTCGAATGAATCGCCATACACAAAGATTTGTGATATGAATTGACTTCGTGCATAAATATCTTCAATTTTTTCAGGTGCAACATATTCTCCTTGACTTAACTAGAAAAAGAAAGACTTTTAATTCGAAAAATTCTTTGATAAAATCTTACTTTATACATATTCTTCTTTCGATCTACCAATTTAATTGTTCGATAAGGTGTCCATCGACCGATATCTCCTGTATGTAACCATCCTTGTTCATCGATCGCTTCACTTGTCTTTGCTTGATCTTTTAAATAACCTAAGAACAATGTTGGACTTTTCAGACAAACTTCTCCAATTCCATCCTTCGCATAATATTCTTTTTCCGGTACATCGACGAGTTTAAGATGTGTAACTGGTGTTGGAATACCTGTTTCACCTGATTCGAAATCATTTAATGTTTGAGAACAGATGATCACACATTCAGTTTGACCATAACATTCGATGAATACACATGAAAAAGCAGCACGAGAGAATTGACAAACTTCCGGTGAAAGTGGAGCACCAGTGGAAAGAACACGATTGACTTTTCCTCCGAATGATTGACGAATCTTTTCAAAGATAAGTTTATCCCATAAAGTATCTTTTTCGGAATAACCACGACGAATTAATGCCAATTTATTTGTAATAGCCAATCGAAATATAATTCGACTTAGAAGACCTTTTTGCCGTACATCTCCTCGAACTTTATCATATAATTTATTCAATAAACGAGGAACCATAGCGAGAACAGTCGGTCGAAAATCACGAAAATCATCGATCAATTTCTCAACTTTGCCTTGCCAAAAGCCAATCTCTCCGCCAAGATATGTTATACCAATAATCGTTCCCGAACCAAATACATGTGCCAATGGTAAATAGTTTAAAACTCGTGGAATATCTTCGACTTCAACTTTTGTTAAATTCACCGAAACAAGAATTGCACATATACCACACAGAAAACCTTCATGACTAAGAACACAACCTACATTTATAAATATTTCAATCAATAAAATTATTTCGAAGAAAATTTTTACCTTTTGGTTCACCTGTACTTCCACTTGTATACATAATAACTGCTCTATCGGTCGATTTCGGTGGAACTATTTCAATTGGATTATTTCGACCCAATTCTTTTAATTGTTCAAATGTGATTAATTTTAATTGTTTGTCTTCGGCAAGTTTCTTCAATTCATCTGATGGTTGTACACAACAAACAATAGTTTTCAAAGCAATTGTTTCATCTTTCCATTCAATTAAGTTTTGAATACGTTGAATATTATCGACAAAGATTAATTCGACTGCACTTTGTTTTATAATGAATTTTACACCATCTCGTCCAAGTGAATCATAAATACCGATCGGTACCATTGAATATGGCCATGCAGCATAAAGACAGAGTGCATAATTAACCGATGGTGATGCATAAATACCAAAAATCGTGTCATTCGATGGTTCGAGACCGGAATTAACAATACCACTACCAATTTCTTTGATGATTTCAAATACTTGTCTAAATAGAGAAAGAAATACTGAGTATTAAAAAGAGATCATTTCATTGTCTACTTGTGAGTATAAGATTTAAATAATTGATCTGATGATTGTCGGAAGGAAAAGTGTGGTCGATCTCCACTCAATTGAATTCCACGTAAAATAACATCATATAAAGTTTGAATACCAAATGAAGAAACATCTAATAACTTGTCTCTATAATCTGGATGTGCATAAATATGTTCTTTTTCATCAATTTCAATTGCACCTGTTGGAATAATCGGCTTTTGGAAAATAATTCGAATAAATGAAAATATATATCCTAATAAAGTACTTAGAATTAGAACCAATCCCGTTATTATCCCAACGAATAAAGTCGACGTCATATCTATTAGAAATTCTTGAATAATATACTCTATGAAAATGAGAATCAAAGCGATACTCGACACGTGTAAATCAACTTATGAAGAAAAATAGATAAAACTTCGACGATTCTACATTCCACAAAGATTAATGAGACAAAAGAAATCGATGGATTGAGAAAATTTTGATGAAAATATCCGACGATGTTCTTTCTTTTCTTTTCAATCTCGAATGTCTATTGGCACACTTTCATTGCGTGAGAGAAGAATTGGATCGTAAAAATAACGTTAAGACAGAGTTCGCTAACTCCTACGAGTGACGATTTTTTTCTCTCCTATGAAAACTTCAAACTGCAGATCATGAAGATAATTACGTTGAGTATGAAAGAAGTCAGAAAACAAGAAATACAAAACACTTCTGATCGAACTAATAAGAATAGAAAAGCAAAGCAAATAATTAGTTTTATTCAAATACCAGAATAAATCGATGGCATCGCGAAAAAATCGTACTATGAAAAGAACAACCAACATACACATTATTTCATACATATCGTACACTATGTATTTCAAACACGTTTTCTTTTTTCCTTTCTTTTTCTTTGACGAGTATATAGTAAAAAAGTTTTTCTGCTTTCTTTCTTATCAACAGACGAGAGTCGTGGGTAAATATACATATATGAGTTGTTTTATTTGACGTTCGAGTATCAATGACACTTGAAAAGATACCTCAATGAAATACTATTCATCATATAGAGAAGGAAGATCTATAGATTTAATTATATTCTCGAAGTTTTATCAAGAATCGAAATCGCATTTGAAATTACAAAATTTATTTGGTTGAGTGAAAAAATCTTTTTAGATGATCATCACTTTTATTGGTACAATGAATTCCAAATTTGCACGTTTGTTTCTGTTGATTTGATACAACATCATTCACTTTTTCACCATGTGAATATTTCATTCGATGTTCTTTCCGTTGATCTACACATTTTTCTTGATTTTTACATGGAATTAAAAAATACGGTAAATTCTTATGTCCAAATTTCGATCGATGAATAGGATCAATCAATTTCTCACAATTTCCATCGTAACGACATAGAGGAACACGAAGAGGTTCGTGAGTTAAATATATTTCATGTTTTGTACAAAATTCAGCATATTGACACGGGTGTGAAAATTTTGAATTATGTTCCGAACCATCTTTTGAGAATTGTATAAGACAATTAACACCATATCGACAAGGTTTATTCACATGTGTTGTTGAATGTGAAAATTTGTCTCGATGTTGTTGACTTTGATCCATACAATTGACATCCCATTGACATTGTGAATCAAGAAGATTATCATGAGTGGAACCGTATTTACATGGTGTTTTTGATTGATTTTCATTTGAAGATAATAATGAGACAATGGGAGGTAAAAATGACAAACATATTTCATAATTCTTCTTCATACTGAAAGCAAAGAAAATGAATTTGTTGGATAAAAAAGAAAGATGGATCGTACCAGATAATGAATTGATCTTTGTTGATGAGACATTCTTTGTTATTTTCATGATTAAATTGACAAATTTGATTTACAATGGATTTTATCTTCTGTTCGTCTGATGAATTCGGTTGATGAAGAAAATGAATCACTGCTTCTAAATAATGACTTAATCTTTGACGATCAATGTGATCTTTATTCAGTGAACAAATTTGAAATATCTTTAAATAAAACGAAGCTTTTTTTATTGTGAAATAAGAAAAGAATTTTTATACCAAAGAGATTTTCTGTTCCATTTCACATGGAACGATCAATGATATGATTAACATATATTCACGAAAGTTAATTAAACCATTTCGATCTTTGTCAATAATTGGAAATGCAAGATCACAGAAATATTTCAAATTTCCTCTAAACAAAGTCGTTTCTTCTTCTTTTCGAAAATTTATCAATAAGTTTTACTTTGGATAAAATTTTGTCAATTCTTCAACCAATTCTTGTCCAGTCAGTTCACCTTTTGGACTAAAAAATGAAACAAATCTCGAAAACTTCCACAGAATCTCATTTCTCTCACTGTGCTTTGATGAAATCTTGATGAATTCGTTCGATCTTCTCGATATTCAATGTCAAAAATCGACATTCTTCTCGAATATCTCGACTTTGTTCCAACGGTAATTCTTCTAAACAAGAAAAATAAAAATGATTTATTCGTTGAAAAATATTTCTTCCTTTACCTAATGAACTTTGAGAAAAATCTTTTGTTTGAATTACACCATGATGAGCATAATAAATCACACAAGAATTTGGTTTTTCATCCAAATTTGAATGTAAATCATGATCAATCACTTGAAATATTCCATTTTTGCTTTCGCCTTTTCGTTCCCGTTTGTATAAATATTTGAAACATCTTAATTGTTTGTACCAATTCGCTCGAGTTTTCTCTTCATATTCATTTGAAATGTGTAATAAATAAACATGATTATCGTAATATTTTTGTATTAAATCATCGATGGATTTCATATTTAGTAGAAGAATCGATGGATTGGGTGTTTTCTGTCGTTTGTCATCGATTTCATCTAAGACATTCTGATCAAATTCACTCAAACATTCGATTTTCGTCATAATAAAAGAATTTTCTTTAAGAAAATTGTTAATTGACATAATCGAGCACGGATTATTTTCTTCAAATTGATCTAATAAAGTGATCATTATCTTTTCATCTGCTTTTCCATGTCGAATATCGTCAAGTAAAGAAGCCAATTTTCGTTGTGTTTCCGATTCGACTCCATATAATTTTGTTCTATGTGCTGAAATCGTTTCAATCCATTTCGATGGAAGCCAATTACGCCATGGTTGAATCTTCGCGAGATAATCGTTCATAATTCGTTTGCCTTTGATGATTTGTTCGAAGATATTTTCAATTCGAATCAAAGTGTTATTCGTCACTTCGTTGATAATTCTAAATCCAATGAAAACGTGTTGAAAAGATCGTCGAATGACACTTACCGTTGAATACGTAAATCCAGTTTGAAGATTTCCGCGAGACGTTTCAATGGATATAATTCGTATGAGAGTTGTTGTCCTTTTCCGTCGTTGAGCTTTGTTAAAAGAGATGGAACTTGTTTAAATGTACAGAAAACTTCTTCAATTGTACGAGGAATATTTTCAATGAGAACATCACCAGAAAAACTGATTTTTAATGAATTCAATTTCGAATTTTCCTTATGATTACACGTTAATGATGCATCACCAGTGACTTCAACTGACATTTTTTCTAAAACAACTGCTAAACGACCTTGAAGATCTTTGGCTTCATCAGAATTCGACAAAATTTCTTCAAATGTCGCTGCAACTCTTCCTCCCCACGTTATACCAATAACACAATGTGTTGCATTTTCATTTTCGAACGCATTTGATGAAAAATAATCACTTAAACCAGCCATACTTATTTGTAAAGATTCTTGTTTAGTTTGAACATTGAACATAAATGTAACTCGAACTGTACGATTGTCACTTGTTGTTTGGTTTAAATATTTAGCTGAACCATCAACTTTGATTAAACCAGCCATAAGACTTAATTTTAATGAAGCTTCAATGTTAAGTTTATCGAATGTTTCTTTTTGAGATCGATTTTCATCAATGACATAATCAGATTTTGCACAATCACTTATAATTATCATGTCTGAGGGTAATTTTCGATTGAATAAATTTCCACCTTCAAATCGATCACATCGAATATCATATAAACTTCCAAGAATTCCATTACGACCAAATGCTTGTTTCGTGATTGCACCACTACGATTGGTCATTTTCAATCGAGAAAATTCCAATTAGTTTCTCTTCTCCTGCGACTTCGATCCTTTTGTTCGAATTAACGAATGTATTTTATATGATCTTGGAATAAGAAAAAAAAATACAAATATTTCATACAAAACTATTAAAATGATATGACCGAAAATAGATTCTCACCTCTCTTTCTTTTTCTTTTCTGTCACCACGTTGTATTGTGCTTGGGAAAAAAATCAAAAGTAAATATATACAAATAGACTGGGGAAAAAACCTCCGTAAACAATAATTCAATGGTAAAAACATAAATTTCCGTCAATTAGATCAACGAAATGTTTGTCATAAACTTCGAAATGCTCAATGAGTTCTATCAAGTTTCACTTTTTCTCTTAGAATAGTTTTTCATTGTTAGTCCGACGACGTTAATCTTTTCTTTTTCAAGTACAACGTTTTGCGTTTGAAATAAGTTTTAAAAAAAGAAACAATTTGGAGAAGTTGGGCATCGATCCCAATACCTCTCGCATGCTAAGCGAGCGCTCTACCATATGAGCTACATCCCCATATCATTTTTCACATCGTCAAATCTAGTTTTTCTCTTCTCAATTATGATTAGTCATCGAAAAGAAACAGAGATGAGTCATAAATGAAATATCTCTACTTTATCAAAAGTGAAAAAGTTCAATTTTTGTCTTCTTTCATCTCAAATAATTTTATTTTCAATCTTATCAAGAAAATCAAGAGGTGAACAACCAGGTTTTTTTTGTAATGGATGTTAAAGAAGATAAAATATTGTAGTAAAACTTCTCCAACGATCGAATTTTTTTTTGACGAATGAAGAAAGTGTATATGGATGACAATATGAATCACTTGTATCAGTGAGAGTTGCACAAACAAGTTTAGAGCTTATTTATGTGGAAATAGGGTAATCATCACACTCAAGTCTTGCTTTTTCCATTTTTTGTTTTGCAAAAAACATAGATATATTGTAAAACAGAGGTATTTCTTGTCACAAGGTCTTTTCTTAATATATCACACCATCAACAATCACAAATAGAGACTATAGATAATATAGGAAAACATTAGCCACGTGGATTGTAACACAGTAAATGTTGTAGATAATGCTCGACAGACTACTAAGAACTAGAACGATTGATTTATCTTGTTTTGTTTTTGTCTATTAGCAGTATCGGCGTTGGTTTACTTGTACAAACATGACTTGTAAGGAAGGTTACACTACCTTTTTATGCGCTGATATCCTTCCTGAATGTTTTTTGATTCTGTTGTCGTAGTTTCAATTATCTTTACTGAATCCCAGACAATTGTAGATGTCGCCTTTTGTTCAAGGTTAATCAGAAAAAAGTTAAATATATATGAAAAATTTCAATCTTTTCCAGAAAAACATTGCGTAAATTACCTCATTTTTTAAAAGAATAATCCGAAAGTTCCAATTGGTTGACGTGGTCAAGCCACATCATGCACGGAAGGCGAAATTCAATTCAATCGTTTCCTTTTCATCACAATATCAAAACGAGTTGCAATATGGATGGTCTTTTGGAATTTCTACTCTACGTCGGACAAGCCAAGCGAACATTTCGCACAGGTTGGGTTTTACGAGGCGTCGAAAGAGTCGAAAGTGTCGCTGATCATATGTATCGCATGGCTGTTATGTCACTTCTATTACCAACTGTTAGTGAAGAATCAAAAGTTCGTTGTATGAAATTATCACTTGTACATGACTTGGCTGAATCAGTTGTTGGTGATTTAACTGAATATGATGGAATACCTAAAACTGAAAAACATCGACGTGAAAGTGAAGCAATGCTTTATTTAACAAGTTTATTACCTGCTGATGTTGGACGAGAAATCTTCTCACTTTTCAATGAATATTCCGATCAAAAAACAAACGAAGCCAATCTTGTTAAAGATTTAGATATATTCGATATGCTTTTACAAGGTTAATTCAGAAAATGAAAATCTTTCTTTAGTCTACAATTTCTTTGTGTTTTTTAGCATATGAATATGAAAAGATTCAATGTGATGAAAAATTTTTAGAAGATTTTTTTCAAGGTTCGGCCAATAAAGTTAAAACAAACATTGTTCAAAAGTGGCTTGAACAATTGCTCAAATGTCGATCATCAGGAGGACAATTTCAATTGCCAGCTGATTCCAATTTGAATACAATGCTGAAACGTGTTCTCTATGATGAACAAGGTTTGAATTTCCTTTCGATTTAACAAATGAAAATATGTGAACGTTGTTTTTCAACTTTTAGGAACATTTTTATACAAATATCCTTCCTCTGATCTTCGTGAAAAATCAAATAATTTCATTTCAAGTAAAACTAAAAATGAAAATTCCACTACATCAACTGTTGATACTAACGAATTGTTAACAAATCTTGTAAAGGATATTAAAGATCTCAACAGTTGAACGATTTTCACATTCGATTTCTTTTTGTTTTTAAATACAAATTGTATTAGTTAGCATTAACTTCTTTTAAAATGATCTTTTGCTTTGGTTGAAATTGACAGTTTAGTTCTGGATGTTATTATTTTGTTTTCTTGTATAGTTTTATACGATCGTTTTTATTTCTTTTACTTTCGTTAACAATAAAAACAGTCTTCATATTTCACTTTTCCAGATAGAAATATTCGCAAATCCATCGAATGAAATCTTTAATCGACATATATGTGAATCATTTATAATCAAAATCGGAGTAACACGTAGTCTGAAACAAACATATTTGATAAGAAAAAATGTAATTAGAAAGATAAATCGATCCTGTGATGATATGTGAACGATTTTCATATACGTATGTTTTCTTAGAAGATATTTAAATGATTAAAGTCATTACGATTTATTTAAGACACATTTCCAATGTAATTAGCTCAAGAGAATTTCGATTATAATGAAAATCAAGATTCGCATTTCAGCGAAGAGGTCGCCAATCAAAATATCGGACTTTAATAAATATAGAAGAAATAGTTTAATTTATTTCAGAGCATTTTCACATAAAAAACTCTTTTTGTTGTTTTATTCGTCAGAAGAAGAGAAAAGAATGTGGTTAAGAGATACACGTGTCAAATGATCATTCGTTTGACTCAGTTAGTCAGGTGTATATCATTTTTTTCTTCTTCAGATGAATATTATTTAAGTAACGTACATCTATTTATTTTTCTCACATCGTTTCAGATAAACAACCGTCGAAAAAACATCATAAAAATGAGCTTATTTTCATTAAAATCAATGATTTCTCTTGTTATTTTATTGATTGCAATTGGAATTGGATCATTTCTTTACTTAACAATTGATACAGATTTCGAAGCACAACCAGGAATGGTTCGTACTGCTGGTTCACCAAGAGAATTTTCATCTGACGATATTGGTCGAATAATCAATACAGCTCGTCAAGCATGGTCAATTGTTGATCAAAAGTAACATTTCTTTTTCTCATTTCTTTTTCTTTGCTTTTCAATAATGAATTTTTCAGTCGCGCTGTTGTCGATATTCAAACATCTTATAGTAATGTTCTTCCTTCTCACATAACTGATCCATTTGAACTTCAAAGTTGGTCATCACCACCTGCTTCTCATTCATATACTGTTCAAGTTTACAATCGATTAAAACAACGTGTCCTTCAATTTACTTATTCACTTCAATTCACTTATGGTGGATCATTAGATGGAAAAGGTGCGTATTTAGATCGCGTTACTATTGTTCCATCACGTATTTCAGTCGCATGGGCTTATGTTTTCAATGCAAGTGTTCATGTTGTGTCTGTGTATAATGTTGGCACACGAGATGAACCAATTGCTGCTGCTCATATTGAATTATGTTATCGATTAGCTGGATTGAATACAGTGGAAAGAACTGAATCTTTTCATGTTCGTGGTGATGGACAATATGCACATTTAAACAATTGAGTTTCTGTGATAGTTTTTTTTATATTTAAAGAGTAACGATTTAAATTTGATGATTGACCAATAAACGAAAAGATTTATTTATTTTTAGAAATGGATTTTTGTTATCATTCTCAAATGAGAGATGCTCGTAGTTGTAAAAATCTGACAACCAACGGACGTTTTATATAAATATGTTGGAAAATTCTTTCAACAATTGAGGAATTTAGCTATTAATGATATAAACAATTCTGTCTGATATAATACAGTTCAATAAAAGAAAGTCACATTAATTTAATAACAATAAGAATGCGACTATTTTTTATTGAAGTCAAATGAGAACTTTCACTTCACAAAACAGTCAAATATTTATAGTTCGTTTTTCTATGATCAAATAATCCATTAATAAATAAGAATCAAAATTATAGAATTATTAAAGTTCAATGGGCCATTATCCGCCTGTTTTACCTGCGCTGTATCAAATGTCACAACATACTGCTGCAGTCAAATTCATATTTTCAGTTACTATGGTGACTAATTGTATATGAATAACCTCAAATATCGTCAAATACTACGCACTCTATGACGTCTTTCTTGCTGCGGTTGCGTGTCACTGATATAGATTACAAACCGATGAATAATATTCACCAGTAAATATTTACAAAAGAAAAAAAAATGAAAAGTGAAATCAATGAAGATCGGAATATTTATAGAAATGCATCTCTCTGTTTTCTCTCAAATACTTTCGACTTATTTTAAAATATTCTCTCTGTCTTATTTCATGATATCAAGACTCTTCTTCTTCTTCTTCTTCTTTGCAATATTATTCGTGATTCCATGTGTTCATTCACTTCGATGTTGGAATAATTGTACTTTTCAAGGATTAAACTTAAACTCATCAGATACTTTTAATCTCTGTTCACAATCAAATCAGTCAAACAACGATACAGNTTGATTCTGATGATCATCAAATTGAATTCTTTTATATAATCGTTCACGTTCATCTTTTGGAATGAAATTTTCGATAACTAATTGAAGAAGTTTGGTTTGTTTTCGAATCTCTCGCTGTTCAGGTTTGAGTTCTTCTCGTGCAGATGGTTGATGTTCGACTATCTCCGTTCGTTTGGCCTCAATTTTCGTCAAATGTTTCGATAACTAATCACGTTTCGCTCGTTTATCTTCAACTTCTTCTTATATATTCGTATATTTCGCATTGATCGTTTGTCGTTCTTCTTCACCTTCGGCTAATCGTTGTTGAACTTCACGTTGACGACGTTCAGCTTCAGCAATCAAACGCCTACCATCGAAGCTGATTTCGATCACTTGAATCAACAAACAAATAACAAACCGTTTCTGTCGAAGGGTCTCTTCTTGTTCACTCGTGTGCGTCACAATATCTTTACCACCAATGATTAATTTCGATTTCATCTGCTGAATTTTATGTTGCGTCTCACGCCCCGCCAGCACAAACGCTCCATTTTTCATCCGACCTCATCCGACCCCTGCTCGAAAAATAGTCAGTAAAAGAATAAATATCTCGTCTTTCATGTTGTTGGTTGTGAGATTATAGGTAAAGTATGTCGAGTAACGGAAATACATGTGAATGAATTCTGTAAACAGTTACAGATCTCTCAATTGTTTTTGATGAAAACATCAAGTTGCTGATTGTTACGACTATTAATCTCTTCCCTGTGGTTAGATGATTGAGAAAAAGCTCTTTGACAAATATTCGAACTACTGAATCTTTGTTTTCTTTTCTTAATTTTCGTTTTTGATGAGGTCAAAGCTGAATGAGGAGTTTTTTAAAAGATCAATTAACTGGCCAATGTACAGGATTTTTTTGGCGCTTTGATTATACGCAATTTGATCTAATGAAAGAGAAGAGATTGAACTAGTTGTCAAAAGAAAATGGCACGACAAAACAAAAGAAATCATTGTGTCAGTGAGTACCATTGATTGCTTTGCAGACGAAATATACGTTTGAGTGATTTCACTAGTGGTATCATCTGATTCAGATGAATCTGAAAATGAGAATCCACGAGCAAGAAATCGAGAAAATGCCCATGTTGAAGGTGCTGATAACGATCGATCAAACTTAAATAACACATCTGCATCGGGTTTGCTGGATGAGCTAAACGGCTTGACTCGAGATGTTGATGAAAGAGGTAAAACGGAAAACCGACAATAGGAATTTGGACAACGGAATTTGGACAATATTGCCGGATTTAAAAAACTGCCTAGAGGNATATTGACAATATGTGCACAAATACAAATGAATTCTGGAAGATTCAATGGGAAAAAATATATTTACCTTATAATCCACTAAATTCAATGGATACGGGAGTGTTTTCTTGCAACAAACCACACTGTGCTTCAAATACATCGATTGTTGATACTTTTCAGTGGTTGGAGAAAGAATATATTCTACCGTTGAATATCTCTGTAGTTAATTTAACAACAACACGAAGACCAACGACGACAACAGTTTCATCACCAACATCTACTACAACACCGAATAATGCTTCATTTGGATTTGGATTTTGTAATTCTATTCTTTTGTTATTTTTTGTTATGATCTTTTTATAACAAAATCTTTTTGATGCATATTTATGAGAAATACATTTGATCAAATCCATTGGTTCGAAATGTATGATGTGAAGTTTGCAGCGTGACAATATTTCATTACTTCTACTCGATTCAGCTCGATCGTTGAGAATTTCCATGAAAATTGACTAGGAAGATATCGCGATGTTGGCCATTTTGAATGATGAAGTTTGGAATAATCGATGTTCCAGTTCATTTTCATAATAAAGAAAGAAGAAAAGCTGATGAATGAAAATATATAGTTGTCGTGTATATTTTGAGAGAATAAGTAGAACTATACAGTTCAGAAATCAACAAAGAAAAGGAATCATGTCCATTTCAAATAGATTTTATCCTTTATACGGTTTAAAGTAAAATCTAAAAGTAAATTTTCATTTTGAATGGTTTGTTTAAGTTTATTGATCATTTCATCATCAGCTGTTGACACACAAATACATAATAATCGAAGTGTTTGAATCGTTTGAACTTTGATATGTGTTAGAAATGTTCGCAGAAACGATTCGATTTCAATTTTCTGTAAAGAATTGATTTGAAATTGTTTTATCAATGGACAAAATGCCATAATCACCAATATTTCTTCAATTTGACAGATTTTCTCTAAACAAACCTTGGTAATTGACATTCGACTTGGAAACTGAGAAAATATTGTTAATTCTTTCTCGGTAACAGGTCCTGAAGATGAGATGGATATTTTGTAAAGTTTCAATGAATCCAATTCGTTTAATGAATGTAGAATCTGGCATAATTTCACAAAATCAATCTCTTCTTTGATATCCAAATGATCAATTTGCATAACAGATGAAACATGGCATAGATAATCATGTATAGTCAATGTTTCATACAACAATTCAGGTGATGTGTCAACTAAAGTAACTCGTCGAAATCTTGTGAATTGTCCAAACGAATAAATCGCTTTCTCGTTTGATTTGTACTCATCAAACCATTGTATTCTAAGTGAAAAAAAAACTCGAATTGAATGTTTACTCCTGAAACCTGAACTTACTTGAGCGGATGAATCGAATAAATGATATTATCATATTTTATTTCAATTTCGAATATCCAATTTCGTTGAAACCAAAACGAAGAGAAGAATTCATTTGGTTTTCCTGTATATATCGACGGTTGATGATGATCTTCAAACGGAACCAAATATTTCAAATAGAATTTCTCTAAATTTGGTATTTTTCTCAAAATAATTTCTTCCCATCGTTTAGCATTGAGATAATTCTCATCTTCAATATAAACTTTCACTGATAAAACTTTTAATATTGTTAAATTCAAGTGACTAAGGAATGTTTCGAATGTGTCAAATGTCATGTGGTATGCTTCTATTGAAAGAGTTGCTAATTTCACTAAAGACAAATCATCGAACTTTGTTTCATTATCATTGGAATTCAAAAATTTCAGATGATGAACATTGGGAGTATGAAATATCAAATGTTTTAATTGTTGAAATGTACAAGGATGATCAATAATGAGATGTTCGATGGAAGACAATGGTTGATTCAAAATAATTGGTAATGATAAATCGATATTCGAATCCGTGGCATCGGTTGCTTTCAGTTTGAAATCTTTTAACTTTTGTAAATTGAAAACTAATCGATAAATCGAACCAAAATGCTTTAAATCATATTCAGTTTCAAATGTCAATGAAAATAAACGAGGTAAATCGACTAATTTTGGAAGAAGTGAATGAATTGTGTCTGGTTTGATATAACTGAAAACGAGACGTTCAAGTTGTTCATATGAGGAATTGAAATCGAATGAGAAGAATATTTCGTTGTTGTTTATCCATGAACAGAAATTAATCGAAGAGATTTGATTTTGATTCAAACGAACACTTTGTTTTAATTCATTTATTGATTTTGCTTTTCCATTTGAATAATCAATGCGGATTTTATATCGAAATGACGGATGATCGAGTAATTGTCGAAAACGAGTGTTCAGATTTGAAAATCCTTCGTAAATCTCACAACCGTTTAAATAATCGAATATTTCATAGAAAAATTCGTTGGAGAAATCTTCCAATAAAGTTATCGACATTCTTGAATAAGACAACTTATGTGTCGTTTCGTTAATGGATTTATATGAAACTGACCACAGTTTTTTTTCTCGCGATTTTCTATATGATTGGATGAAAAAAGCGATCCTGGAAATTGACTTGACTTATCATGAACTCAATGATTAAGATTATGTAGTTCTTGGTCAGTGAATTGTTGATTTTGACTTGTGAAATACTAAAGAAGCGTTTCTTTGAAACAAATCCATCAACGACAAAGACGAATACAAAACACATTCAAATGTACGTGACTCAGGAATCAGTTTGATGATCTGACTTTTAAAACAGACTGAATTATTTTCCAAAATTTAATTATTTACTAAATTATTCATTGGTGAAATCAAATCATCCAATGATTGAACTATAAAATCATATTCACGAACATAAATACCATTAAATGATAATCGATCAAGTTCACCTTGTCGATATAATGTAATCGACAATATTTAGTCAAATCGTAGCATAGATACTTCACTGATCGATGTCATAAATATACATTCCACTTTTTCTAATCATCCGAAAGACAATGTTATTATCAACTGTTGTCAGAAAGAGTGGACTTGAAATAACTGTGTTTTTACTTAATTCAAATTTGTCTATTGAGTAAAATTATTTTCAAGATTGTATCTTTTATTGGATTTATTGGTTAAACTTTGAGAAGAGTATTTTTTGTAGATTTAATAGATCATTAAATTGAAACATTACCGAGTTTAGTCTCACTATAAAGTCAGAGTAAAATATTTTCTTTGATTGTTGGAATAAAAATGTGACTCGTGATTGGATTTTTTTATTAAAAAGTAAAGTATTGTTTACGGAAAAAGCGTTAAAATTGAAGTGATGCCGAAAATGAACTCCTCTATTTGTCATCGAACTGGATAATTCGTGAGAATACTTGAAGAATGGCCACTTAGTCCATTGAAAATGTCGTGAAAAAAGGCATTGTTTTCCTGTTTACGCCAAGAGTAATCTAATTATTTCGATTATCAATGAAATTCAATTCACAAACTTCTTTTTTTGTTTCCTTCTTTCTCACCGAATTGAAATTTGTTTGAAAACTGAGGAAAGCGAGTGTTTCGTGTGTAACTTTGTATAAAAATTCGGGATTTTCTCTGTAGGAAATGAACAATGAAAAAGCACGACTTTAAAACATTTATTTTCTCTCTCTGGTCTTTTTCTTTATCTTTTTAAGTTATTCTAAAAATAATATATTGATGATTATCTCCAACAAAAGTAAGACTTATTCGAGAAAAGAAAGGTTAATCTCACGTTCACGTACATGAAGAGACTTGAGTTTGCATCTTTGTTCAATCATTCGTGATTTCTCATTATCTGTGATCTTTAAGAAAACTTGCACCAACGGAGTTTTCCACTAAGATATCACTTTTTTCATGAAAAGATCAAGTTGAGGTTACAGAGAGCATTGAATATTTGTTTTAGACGATCTTGTCCAAATTTCAAAGAGAAAAGAAAACATTCTGTTTAATTTCATAGTACAACTTGAGATTAGACTTGAGGAATATTAAACAAAAATTACTTTTCTCAACTCTATTGAGGATGGGTTGAGTTTGAAAGTAGTTAAGCTTTTTCTTAAGCATTGTCAGCGAGTGCGTGCTGTGTTCACAAACCAAACTCATATTCATCCTTGCCCAAGTGCCCATAATTATCTCTCTATTCTGAAACTGAAGTATATTGAGAAATAGCTTCATTACATGAAAAAGAACATATAAATCAGCACTTTTTACTTTGTGAACTTAGATTTGAAACATTCTCATCTTGTTATAATCAATTGAACATCAAATGTCTTCATTGATCGGCACACTACAACTAATTCAAAAAAATCTTCTATTTAGTTTATCATGGTTTTATGTCTCTTTCGGCGTAACTGGCTGTATTTTAAATATTTTTCTATTCTCTCGAAAACAATTTCGAACAACATCTTGTTGTAGATGTAAGTCATCAAAGAAATTCCTTTTTCGAATTCTTTTTTCTCTATTTCATTTAAAGATTTCTTATTCGCTTCTATTGCAATGCTATGTAACTTATTAATTTACTCAATTCCAACAATCTATGCTTATTTCTACGCTAATCCAATTACATATAATGTTCCTTTTTGTAAATTTCGTTCGTATTTCAATCACATTACTTCTGTTATATTTCGTTTATTATTGAGCGCTGCTTCGTTCGATCGTTTTGCATTATCATCGTCGAATGCACGTTTGAGAAATTTCGCCAATATCAATTTCACGTACAAAGTCATTGCATCAATTGTTATTCTAATATTACTTATACATATCTATATGTTGATTTATTTCAACATCAAGTCTAATAGTTGTTACAATTCTCTCGATGCAATTGCGATTACCTTTATCAATAGTTTTTCTTTGCTGAGTTATTCGTTTATACCAACAACATTAATGATAGTTTTTGCGATACGTATTCGAAAGAATCTTGATGAGAAACGACAACGTCGTCAAGGTATTTTGAATCAACAAGCAAAAACAATTGAAAATCAGAAGATTCAATTAAAACGTGATCGACAGTTAATCCGAATGTTATTTGTACAAATCATTGCCTATATTATTATAACAATGCCATTAATGGTTTACAGTATCAACAATATCATTACTCCTTATATTTCAAATAAAAATTCTGATCAACTGGCAATAGAAAGTTTCATAACAAGTATTTCTGGAGGATTATCGTATGTTTTCCCTGCGGTTTCATTTTATCTTTATACATTAACATCAAGTATGTTTCGTCGAGAATTATGGTTGATGTTACGATCTTCATTTTGTTGCCACTGTTTACTGAAAAATTATCGTGTTCAACCAACATTAACAAATCCAACACAACGAACACATTCTCTCAATCGAAAAAATATAAACTAAAATATACATTTATTTTTCGTCATATACGTTTTTCTCTACTCATATCTACTTCTTTATGTAATATTTGAATTGTAGACAGAAGGCAAAAATAATTTGCATTTATAGAGTATTATGTAGAACACCGACTCGCCATGTTTATCTCGACTTTACTCGCGTATATGATTATAGGCATATTTCCCATAATGAGAAAAAAGAAAAAAATCGGCTCTACTGTTATGAAGAATAACTGCGTACTGATGATTGATTTTGGAGGAACAAGCATTTGGCTGTGATGAGTCGTCAAATATGGTTGATTTGATTGCTTAGTCATACTAACTGAGTTACTCGTTCACTGTTAATATGGATACGTTGATATGACTCGTGATCGATTCTTTTTTTGACGCTGGATAACAGTCCACGAAATGAAGATAATCAATAAAACTGTTGCACTTAACACTCCAAAAGCGATACCAATTATGGCACCTATACTGGGGATATTATATCATTTTCCGAGCATGTTCTTCAAAGAGAGACGAGTCAATAAAAACAGCATTGATTAAATGAAGCATAACTCACCGATAAGCAGCGTTTTTCGATCCGGACAAGATTCGTACAAGCGGATCCATACAGAGTGACAAGACGAACTGCTACAGATTCTTGATGTAGTCATACCAATATAGTTGTTCAGCAAACAATAGCACGAACCAGTGTAAGTCAGTTGAACGAAGAAAACACCAGTCATTGTGGCAAAGCAGAAGACAATTACATACAAATGCAACGATATTTTTGAAAGTGATCAAATAACCTTCGTTCTAGTCTAATTAAATTTTTCATGTCTCCCTATTCAACAACAACTTTCTTGACAAACAAAGACAAACTTCAGGTCATTATGTTGATAGAACAGTGATTTTGATTTGTTGACATCAATAAAGGTTTATTGCCTAAACGCCGAGAAGCAAAATGTCGAACATATAAAACGTCGAAAATTTCAAGATCTTGTGAATAAGTAATAATTATTATCTTCCTTAATTTCGTTCGCGTTCGGATATATGGTCATTTATCACCTGTCTGGTCGGCGAAGAATGTCGATTTCAACAGTCATATTGTCAAGTTACCGTAGGCACTTGCCGCCCCACTGAAAACAACTGCAGTTGATGCAATGCAAATAAGAATTGACACATTAAGTGATCGATATCGTAATCAGGATATCGATGGAGAGCAAATGTTAGATGCCTTTATCATTATTAATCGTAAGGAAAAGGTGAATATGTGATCACATTCGTGCTGTAACACCGCTGAGGTGCATTTTCACCTTTTTTAAATTTTATTTTCTTCTTAAAACTTTTCTTTGATGCGTAATAAGATATTCACTTAAATAATATCATGCTTTTACTCATTATTTTCTATGAAAAAAAACACTTCGATCTTTCGGATTTCGACATTTCTATTTTCGACGATTTTCGCCTTCGACATTTTGACTTTCAGTGTTTTTCAGCGATACCGTTGGCTAGACTCTCTTTTACTCGTTTTACGACCTAGTATACTGAATGCTTAGTCCAAGGTGAATATACTGTGTTAGCCGTAACTTCATTTGATTGTGTTTAGAGAAGATGATAACGCTATTTATTACGTTGTTTAAAAACTATTAATTAGCATCATGCATAAAAATACGTTTTTATGAAGATAAATTTTGTCTCGATGAACTTTCGTACACTTAAGTACGACAGTTTTCTTAGTTGCTTTCTTAATCGTCCAAAACCGGTTTAAGTAACATAAACTGCTAACGTATCCTACGTTGGTTCGTACTATAGTCGGTAAAAATTGTTTATGAAAGGTTAGTCTCTCTGTTATCTCCCAATGATAATGATATTCAATTCAATATTGGAATATGAAAGTTTGATCTAATGTATGCGGATGTTATCACACTAAATTTGTTTACTTTTCGATGAATTCATCAAGATTTCATGACCGAAAAGATAAGTAAAATTTCGTGAATAATCAAGGAGCAATTTTTTTATTCAACATTTATCTTAATAGGATATTAAGAGAATCAGCTAGAATGATGAAACTTTCTATATAATATCACACTGACTAACTCGAATATATGATTCGAAAAAACGTAGAAATCACAATTATTCGAAAAAGATGTAGAGAATTCCGAGAACTTATTGATTACCCTATGTACTTTGATTACGGGAATGGAAGATGCCGATATTTTTGACATAACATTTAATTGTTCACACCCCCACCCACTCCATCCTCGTGGTTTCTCGATTTGAAGAGAGATTTTCATGAAAGATTCTTAAGAGAGAAATTTATTGTCAATTATTATTTAACCAGATATTTCTTATCTCATCATCTTTGACAAAGCTATTTGTTCTTTCGCATCAATTACTGAATCAAAGACAATGACTAAATTTTGTTACTAGTGTTTAGTAAAATAACAAAAACGATAATAAACATTATAATGATGATAAAATAGTGTAAATAACGTCTAATATTTGTGTATTATTTTTTAACCATCGATCTTCTTGTTTTTCCATATTCCCAGATAAAAGAACAGATGATTCTGATATTTTCCATGTTTGACCGTCATAAGTCACTAATTGCCAGTTGACTGCTGTCGTGACAAATCCATAAACCGGATTCTGATCGTTATTTATTTCAAACATCGATCGCAATGATAATAATAATTGAGTAAGTCCTTTTCCAAATGTATCACATTTTGCTTCAATAATAATTACATAACGAGTGTCGTCAACATTGATACTTTGAATTACCATAAATTCCATGTTTCTACCGTACTTTTCATCTTTGCTGATGATTTGTTTCTCTCGTCTTAATTTTAAAACACGACGTTTCATCATACGAGCAATATAGGCAACTATTGTTGCCAAAACCTGTCCGACATAATCTGTAATGACCGCTTCATTCAATGGAGAAATTGTTGCTTCTGGAAAATCTTCTGATATAAGTCGCTCAACTAATCGATCAAAGACCATTTTTTTCAACTCGTCCGGTGCACTTCTCGTGATGAATTGATCGAGTGGTATTTGCGAATTGTAAAATTCAGTGAATCGAAATCTAAGTGTAACCTCTGCTTCTTCTTGAGAGACATTTGCAAATGAAGTCATGTATTTCTTTCTTGGTTTCAAAATGGATTCTGTTGTATCATCCATTTTGATCTAAATCAAAAGACTATAGACGATGAATATATCCTTTTCAAACATCCTCGTATTAACTGTACCCCTACAACAATCGTCGATGTTAAAATAAATAATTATGCCAATCAATCAGTTATTGCAGCGAATCTTATGTCGATGTAAACCAATAATATTCTTACCGATAATAGATGGCGATCTCTGTGAAACTAGCGCGAAGGGACTAACACGAACAAACGATATGTTACGTAAAAACGTTTTTACTACATATGTCTCGTTCACGAAAACTACCAGTCGAATGGTGTAGTTTTCATGGACGAGGAAAATGCTAATCACTCTTGCAAAGCAGAGAACAACCAGTCACATGTTCTGGTCTAATTCAATTTTTCAGCTTTTTCTATTCGATAACTTTCTTGACAAACAAACACAAGCTTTGGATTGTGTTGGTCATAGAACAGTGATTTAGAATCAGTAACATTAATATATTCTTATATCTCATGGCAAACATCTCAGTTCATCAAGTTTCATAGTTTATTCGCACACACATTCACATTTAACGATGATACATAAATACTGAACATGAAGTTTTGAAGAATAATGTTTTACTTTGATAATGGAAACTGAAGATGTCCACTTTTTTTCCACATTACATTTAGTTGCCCACATTCCCACCCACATCACATGTGAAACTAATATCTCCTATCAATATTTTCTTCTATGAATAACCTCGAATATCGTCAAATACTACGCACTCTATGACGTCTTTCTTGCTGCGGTTGCGTGTCACTGATATGGATTACAAAGCGATGAATAATATTCACCAGTAAATATTTACAAAAGGAAAAAAACTGAAAAGTGAAATCAATGAAGATCGGAATATTTATAGAAATGCATCCATCTGTTTTTCTCTCAAATACTTTCGACTTATTTTAAAATATTCTCTCTGTCTTATTTCATGATACCAAGACTCTTCTTCTTCTTTGCAATATTATTGGTGATTCCATGTGTTCATTCACTTCGATGTTGGAATAATTGTACTTTTCAAGGATTAAACTTAAACTCATCAGATACTTTTAATCTCTGTTCACAATCAAATCAGTCAAACAACGATACAGATCAAATTTGTCAAGTGAAATTAACGATCGATCCAATACAAAATCTAGTCAATGGGTCATTTATATCTCGAAAATCAACATTTTCAGACAGTAATCGACTTCTTGTTCGAACACACTTTCCACTGAATGATAGTTCGGTGATCATCGAAATCGAATACGAATGTTCTGTTACCGATTATTGTGATATGGAATTTGTGCGAGAAACATTATCATCATCGTGGTCCGAAGCGCCAATAAAATCTATTCATGAACAACTTGTGAGTCGCCTTTACGATCCAAATAACACTGATGTTCCTGTTCAATGTTCGAACAACAATTCATGTCCACAAAATACAACATTCTGCTACGCTGTATATCTGCCGAGAAGGTTAACACAGGGCAATGGATACTATATTGACAATATGTGCACAAATACAAATAAATTCTGGAAGATTCAATGGGAAAAAACATATTTACCTTATAATCCACTAAATTCAATGGATACGGGAGTGTTTTCTTGCAACAAACCACACTGTGCTTCAAATACATCGATTGTTGATACTTTTCAGTGGCTGGACAAAGAATATATTCTACCGTTGAATATTTCTGTAGTTAATTTAACAACAACACGAAGACCAATGACGACAACAGTTTCATCACCAACATCTACTACAACACCGAATAATGCTTCATTTGGATTTGGATTTTGTAATTCTATTCTTTTGGTATTTTTTGTTATGATCTTCTTACAACAAAATCTTTTCCATAGATTTTAAAGAGAAATAAATTTGAATGTTTCTAATAGTTTTCAAATATATGTGGTTCTACTTTGACGAATTTTTGCATAAATACAACAGCGCCATCTATTAATGAATTTGTAAAGAAAATCCTTCGAGTATGGAAATGAAAAGGCTAAAATTCATATCTAATATCGGTATTTGCATGAAATATCGGTAAAAAGAAGATTGACAGAGATGTAACTATGGTGACAAAAGAAATGAGAAGATGGAAATGATTATTGTAAGTTCTAAATGAATCATAAAATCTTAAAAGGAAAAATATGATCCGTTTTTTCTCTTTCTCTCTATCAGATCGATCGATCGAACGGAAATTGTTCGTTGGTCTGTTGTCGAGTGTCAACAGGAAAATAACGTTATGAAAAGTAACAAGAATAAGAATAAAAACAAGACATTTTCAATCAAATCTAAAATATCGAAGATTACAAACGACATTTTCTTCATCTTCTTCCATTGATTATTTTACAAAATTAATTTTCTTAAAACGAAATAATAAAGGTAATTATTGATTAGCTTGTTTGCACTATTTCCTACAAAAAAACATTGTTCTACTTCACTGAACTATATCAAAATCGAGGTTAGTTGTTATTTAATAGTGGGAAAGAACCCTCGAGATGATCTTTTTATTATAACTTGACGTATATCAAGACAAAAAGAGTGAAACTTTCCGATGAAGTTATTGTTGTTAGCCGTTCGGAGACCTTTTTTTAACCTTTCTATGCGATCGAATGAATAAAGAATTTGATTATACTTAAATAAAAACGAAGAGAAATCGCAAATATCTGATTACATATCAATTTCATTGACAGAGTACATCAATTAGAAATGTGGCAAGTTCCCTCGAAATATTCTTTAAAAGAACATTTTTTTTTCTTTGATTGAAGTGAGTGAGCAATACCGTTACCTTTTCTTCTTTTTCTTTCTTCTCTCCCCTTCGTCTTCTTCTTTACTCAAAAAACAAAAAGGAAAAAAAGCTTTTGCTGTTTATTTTCGTTAATATATTTGTCTGTAACTTTGGATGTTTATGCACACTGGGTTCGTTAATGTCTTGAGATCCGACTGATGTCATGATTTTCACTTAGATAAACGTTGTATGTGTGTATTTTGTTATACGTATTTCTATTTAGGTGAAGTTAATGAATGTTTTGCACGCCAAAGATCTTTTATACTTGTCAATTATTAAAAAACTTGTTAGTCATGAGTTTGATTTGTTTGAGAAATCTTTTATTTTGACTTGTGTTCTTTATTTTAGTTTTTTTGTTCATTTCTCGTGATTTAATGGCACAGGAAAGGAATAAACAAACTCCTCTTTCATCATCGATTCGTCAGATAACTCATACACGTCTTCATGATGATGGAATATTGGAAATTAAATATGAAATACTGGATAAATTAGGTGAAGGATCATTCGGAACAGTTTTTCGTGTTCGAAATCGAGAAAGTGATCTTTTCTATGCTATGAAAACAATTCCAAAAAAAGTAAAAAAAAGAAAATATTTTCTTTCGATTAAATTCATTTATCTTTTGTTACGTTTAGCCGGGAAATAAAATCAAAGCATCAGTTCTTGAAAATGAAGTGAAATTATTAAAAGAAGTTAATCATCCAAATCTAATTCAACTTCACGAAGTACTCGAATCATCTCAAGTGAATTATACATTCTCAATTCAAATGAACAAATAAAGTCTTTTTACATTTCAGAATTTATATTTAATTGTTGAATTGTGCGAAGGTGGAGAATTAGGATTGCACTTGAAAAAGATTGGTCATTTACCCGAAGAAACTGTCAAACAAATTATGTCGAAATTAGTCAATGCTTTGTATTATCTGCATAAAATGGGTAAGAAGTTTCGAGAAAGTTGATAGAATTTCGAAATTTCGCTTTTTAGATATTGTTCATCGAGATCTGAAATTAGAAAATATCTTATTGAAAAATAATCCAACAAGTAAAACCGATGAATTTGATATTCGAGTAACACGAGGAGAAACAATTGAATAGTTGATTGGAAAAAAATTTCTTTCCAGGTCACAGACTTTGGATTAAGTTCAAAACAAAGTATAACAAATACAGATTCACTTTTCAATGAATATTGTGGAACTCCTCTGTAAATCATATTTATCTCTGAAAAAAGTTCATTCGCACTTTTTCTTTAACAGGTACATGGCCCCAGAAATTTTAGATAATAAAAATTATAGCGCCCTTTGTGATGTTTGGGCTCTAGGAATTATTATGTTTTATTTGTAAGTACGATGAAATTTCCGAGGAGAATACGAAAAGATTGACTTTCGATTGAAATAGAATTACTGGACGTCATCCATATGTTGCAAATAATGAACGACGACTATTAGAATTGATTCGCACTCAAAAACTTCGATATGATTCGGAGAAATTTAAAAATTTATCCTCCGAAGGTTTGATTCGGCCGTATTTCAACAGAAATTTTCCTTTATCCGTTGTTTTTCTTAGGGCTTGCCTTTTTACAAGGAATGCTTGTTTATGACACAGTTCACCGCCGAACAATGGGTGAATTAACTGTTCATCCGTGGTTAACAGTAAATTCTTTCTTAAAAAGAAAGTCTTTTACTTTTTCCAAACATCTTCTTGTTATATTAGGGTCGATCAGACAAAGGAGCAGCGAAAGATATCATAACAATGATGAGAGAATTTCAAGCTGAAAATGAACGAAAACAATTGAATACAGAAAATAATCATTCAACATGTGAAGAAAACGATGAAGAAACCGATCTATCAACGGATGTCAGTCCAGATCAAACAAAATTAAATACTTCAGAAAAAAAACCAACCCATGAAAAACAGAAATTTCAATTGAAAACGAATCGATATCCATCAGATTTGATAAAAGTAGAATTTCTTTATTGCTTCTCTTTGTCAATTGTCGACTATTTTAGACACCACGACGTTCGACACATGAGTCAGATGTTCTTTCGTCGACCAATCCAAAATCAAGTGATTCAGTAAACAAAAACAACTCTTTCTTTTTTCTCTTGATCATATTCATCTTCATCAATTTTAGTCAACCGATCTGAAAGAAAATCATCAAACACGAATTCGTTCAAATCCCATTGGATTTGATCGTTCTCAATCTCATAATGATTTAATCTCGTCTCCAAAATTGTCTCGCCAACGTTTACCATCGAATAATTCTCTTGGTCTGGGAACTTCCTCATCACCATCGAATTCCACTCCACGTTCTTCTGCCGTCAATGCTTTAAAAATGATAAAAAAAACTCATTCAAATAATTCCACATCATCTCTTCCAACAATATCCAATCATCATGCAAATAAATTATCCTAAATTAAAACAATATATATATATAGTAATCACTCATTATGTGATCTTCTTGTATAAAAATTTCGTTCTTTTTCTTCTTTTTTTCGATAAATCGAATTCAATCAGAAATAAATATGCGTACTTATTCATTGATCAAATATCAGCGATCCTTTTGTTGAACCTTCATTGATGAATAGAACGCATGACCTTTAACTGTCAGAATATTCGTTTGTTGAATACATAAATGGAGTTAACGAGGCATGTCACACGTATAATCTTTCGTTTATCTCAGAAGATTAGTTCAATTTGATTGAAAGGCAATGAGTACAGGTGGTTTTTCTTCATCTGGTTCAGCAAGTAATCAAGCAAAAGAAGGAACAGAAAATATTGAAGGAAATGAATTTTCTACTGGCGGAAATCATTCAACTAGTATGTCATCTTCAGGTTCAACGAGTATTCAAGCAGATGTACATTCTAAAAGCGAAGGCGACGACACAAGAAATTACACAGCAACTGAAGCTTTAAAAACAGCAACATTTCAAAAATAAGTTTTTCCAGTTGTGTCTTCATGAACTTTTCTAAAATTAACTATACATCGTAATGTTATTTTAAAAAAAATAAAAGAAGTCGTATGCTAGCAAAGAAATACCTTAACATACTAATTGAACTTCAAGTTACCTCTATATGCTAATCGAAATTTCAGAATTCTATGAATGTCTTTAGCGATCATGATTATTTAGTTTGATAATACCGCACAAACGACTTACCCTAGACGAACTTTTTTCTTCAAGCGCATGAATTTCTTAGTAACGTCAATCTTTCTTTGGACCATAGAAATCATGATAAAAAGTTCTGTGACGTTAAATGCTACAAAGATCACTCGGGTGCAGCTTTATCCAGGTCTCTCGCTGTAGACCTTTTCATCGAGGTCATTGTGACTCGGTCGGATCCAGTCGCTGGAACGATCAACCAGGACAGTGCTGTCGACACTGTCTCAATCTCACAGTCATCTCCTGCGCCCAAAGAAGTATTATTCAGAGTTTACTTGCGGTATTTCTCAGTAGACTATTTGGATGAAATTTCTACTAGAAGCCTTCCCTCATTGTTCCTCTGGAGTCTGGACGTGCAAAACCATCGTAGAAAATTTGCTGATGCAAGTAATCATCCAACTACCAGTAGTGTCAAACTTGAAAGTTAAATTTAGCTACTGATTTAACACTCAGATATCCTCTCTGTACTTCTACTAATGGTACCAAACATTTCTAAAGCTTCCAATAGATCTAACCCGGCACCTTGAAATACTCAGTGACATTAGCTATCACTCAAAGGTTTGAGTAAAACTTCACTCCTGTCCTTCACCTCCATGTCGATCTTCCTCTGAGCCTCAGAAAGTATCGTGAAAAGTTCGGTGACGATACCTATTGCAGGGACTGAACGTATAGCGAACGAACAGACAGACAAACTTTCTTCTTTAGATATGTAGAAGAAGACGATAGAAAAGTAGCAATATGGTGTAGCTTTAAAGAAATAAATAACTAAGTATCCACATTGACAGATAAAGTGATTATTCTATGTATTGAAATTCCGCCAATTCGATCGTGTTTCACATCTTGAATCCCGTTAGATATTGCGCTGAAAGCTGTTTTCATACATCAGGTTATTTATCTGATGGAATTAAACAAGAAACACGATACAAATACAAACACAGCTGCTGTGTAATTGATTCCGAACAAGAAACAAGTAACGGTCATCCTTTCGATTCGCTGATCCTTTTCTGGAAGAATTGTCCCATTACTGAGCACATTCAGACACTTTGAAAGACAAATGAGGCACTGCGATTGCTACTAGTCCTTAACTGTATTCTGCCACTATTTCACACCCTCGAGTGAATAGAAGACAAAGGCTGCTCTTTTCAGGAACCGAACCAATCCGCCATTTGTCAGTGACTAACTCTCGAGCATTGATTGTGTTTACTAAAAAAAACTTCATCGCTCAATGGCTAGTCGTTCGTCAGCCTCCCTCTGATCGGCCACTCACGGCCAGCTGTTGCTGTGTTACCTCTATTATCCCTTTCATCTTTGATTAATTTTCAACTAGAATAACTGCGCTTCCTTTCATTATCGCTTCGAAAGTGGTGATCTTTCATTCATTTGACTACCAAAAGAAAACAGATCAAACGCCTTATTTTATGATTTGCTGTGAAAAGAATATCCATCATAGTGCTCCATATGTTTGGAATATCATTCGTATGGTTTATCTCTCTGTAGTTAATAACATCAAATTGCGCTGACGGATATATCACTATTCGACCTATTTCCGCTCAATTCCTATTAAAGATCTGACGCTGACGCATCGCAGCCTATAACGCAAAAATGATATTGCTATCCTATCACTTTTTCCGATTTCTTGACTTAGAAATATCATGGTGCATGATGTATTGAATCTTTTTCTGTAAACTCCTAAACTACCATCTTCCTCCACACCACAGCGAGCAGTAGCATTCACTCCACTAGCTTCTACAAAAGGTCTTAGGAAGATACAGAAAAATATCTCTTTTGAAAAAAGTGAGAAAGAAGCCGAAAGTTCGCGACAACGAAAAACCTAACGTCATATTCGGGATCCTCGACCTCGATTACTTATGGTGAATCATTCCCGTATGACCATCGTCAAGTTTTCTTTGAGTTATCAAATGCTGTAATCTGATTGGCTTGGACAGACAGGCAGAGAAACTTTTAGCATTTTGAGCTGTCGATTTAATCGCTGTATAACCCTTTCTTTCAGAAAAGGGAAAAAGTCTGATTAAATTAAAAATTTGAAGATAATCTTTTTTTCTTTTATTTATCAAAGAGTGTATATACAAAAAAAATGTTCTTGATTAAAAATTTAATTACTGGTGCTTGGATCCAAAATATCTATTGCCTCCAGTAAGTCACGATAGAGTTTTGATTTTAATTTTGATGAAGACACGCACAGTTGTTTTGCTTCAGATGATTGAATTCTTCGAATGCGTGGTTCTTTTTGCAAATAAAACATATCTGCTGGATTTGCGCATTGAGAGTCAAATACACCATCGTATTGGTAAATTAATTGAAACGGGCGTTTCTTTTGTCGGCAAAGCTTTATCAGTTTTCGCCATTCATTCAACAATGCGTCATTGTCATCATGTTCTCCATGCGATGACAAATTCCAAATGTTAAATTGGTTCATATCAATTTTGTAGATGAAAACTGCATCTAATTTTGTATCAACACCACGAATCCGCTTCAACAACCAGTCTCGAGCATCCGTAAAAGATGTATTAAGATAATATCCTGGTCCAAAATCGCTTGAGATAAACGAATCGTCACCTGGAATGCCGGATTCTAATATTTGAGTAGTGTATTCCGATATTGTTCCATGATAAAACAAATTGGCTTGTTTGTTCACATTCTCGAAGAAACCCGTATCCGATAGTTTAACCTTCATGTGATTGGTACGAAAGCATCGAATCCCAGGTCGATCATTCCGGTGACTGGATCCGTTGGAATCTGAGTCGAATTCAGTACAGCTCTTCTTGATTCCGGCACAGTTTTCGCAGATTCCAGCAGGTTCCTTGCCGTCGGATTCCGACCGGAATCCGGCGACAAGGAAATGGTCGGAAAACGAACATAGCCGGCCAGAACCGACCGTGCCATAATAACCTGGGTTAACTGATTTGTCTTCTAATGCCGCAACTTGAGAGAATTGTTCCATTGATGATTGAATGCTAATAAAAGACATGATATCTGCTGGTGTTGAACGAAAATCAACGGTTGATGATATAGCTGAAGGTAATTGACAACATTCAATCGTTCAAGACAAGGATAATTGGTTCTTTAATAAAATTTCAAGTGACTCGTGCCATCTAGAACATGGAAAAGTAAAGAATTCATTCGTTAATTTAAGAGCAGTTTACCTTTCACAAGCATAACTTCGTATGTATCGAATAATAGGATCGATCAGGAACAAAGATGTTTCTTCATCTTCCTGGATCTGTACACGTACATAATTACAAGCTTCCTCTGTGATATTCAATATTGTCAACTGTTCATCGATAGTACGAGCACCATAATATTGAACACTAAATATTCAATCGATCGATTGTAATCAATACTATTCGAAGTCGAATCCGTCCATTCCCGGAACTTATCTGTATCTCGAATACTCATTCTAACGAGAATTTCATTCTTGTTCTCTTCACTTAGTTTGTAAAACAATTTAAGCGCTTCAGCACATTCACGATCACCAAACAATGACTTTCTTGATTTAATTGTATTTGGACTTTCCTAAAAACAAAACAAACGAATGTAATCTACCTTCTAACTTATGTAGAGAAAGGTATAATTAACCAACATATTGATAAAATAGACTTCTTTTGAAAGCAATCAAATATGAATGAAACACTCATGATCCTTTAACTTCAACGGAGAAATCGACAAAATTCAATTGAACTCTTTTATAACAGGAAATTACAAAGGATGATTAGATTTTTGTCCATTTGAAATTAGTCAAGGATTATCGATGTTTTCCGATAAGTCAAAATAAAACCCTTTTCCTTGGTGAAAGTTGTGATTGATCTATTTCTCTTGAGGAGAAAGTACTTTTTCTAAAATCTTTTCTATTAACACACACTTTTGATCGCGCATTCGATCTTCTCTCGTCAGCAAACAATAAATACTTACATTAGAAGATGACGACACGAAGGATGTGTTGTTTGGTGACTTAGTACAAACACCTACATGTAGAAAAAAACAGTTTCATATATGCAACTCCGATCTAACAATGAGCTCTCGATTTGCTTACCTGATGAACTGCAAGGACGCGACATTGATAATGGGAAAGTGTTCTTCCCAGGTCAACAAATCCGATCGGATTCCTGGAAACGGAATTGCATTGGAATCCGACTAGAAAAATCCCGTCGGTTGTTACAAAATGTTATGAGCGTTATTTTTAGCTAGCCAGCGTAAAAAAAGTTGCAAGATACATTATTATTGGAAGATATTTGTTATGAGCAGCTTACTGGTAGAAACAAGTGTACCGTGTTACTGAAGAGTGTTCTGTTATTCCAGTCAAAGCATAGGATTATGTGTACTTCCGAAAAACAACTACTGCATACTATATTTGACCTCTTTTCATAATTTACTGAATAGAATAAATCATTACCACCTTGTTGGTACTAACGATAATAATGTCAACTACGTAATTTTCAATATTTAATTGTTATAAATGACAAAAAACAATCTTTTTCCTTGGAATTGAGCTCTTTGCTTGTCTTCATAATGCTCCCTAATTTAATGTAAGGCAAGATTTCTTCTAAAGAAATACGGTTATTCGCTACCTAAAACCAAAATGACAAGCAAAATTTACTGTTACAATAAATAACAATGACATAAAATTCATACATCTCTTAATATCTCTATTCACTGGTTTTATGTCTGGTGTATTTATATAACATTGTCACTCGTTATCGCGAGTAACGAATGGTCCATGAAAAATGAACTTCTCGATACGATGACATCAGTGTGAAGCTAGCACGAAGGAGCTAGCACGAACAAACGATATTTTAGCTAAAAACTTTTTTACTAAGTATGTCCCGTTCATGAAAACTACATCATTCGACTCAGAATTGAATTCTGCATCGAATGGTGGTACTTGTATTCACCGGACAAACTTTGGAAAAATTCTATCTATATCTTTGTTCGTTTCTTTTATGTCTATTTATAATCCAGATAGAATTTTTCCAAAGTTTGTCCGGTGAATACAAGTATCACCATTCGATGCAGAATTGAATTCTGAGTCGAATGGTGTAGTTTTCATGGACGGGACATACTTAGTAAAAAAGTTTTTAGCTAACACATCGTTTGTTCGTGCTAGCTTCACACTGATTACGATGACTAAATCTTTGTCATTTCTCATGATAGTGAACCGAAAAAAGATATTTTGTGAAATCAATGTTTTGACCGTAGTTTTCTAGTTTTTATACTACTGGGTGAGATTTTCCAAAAATATCCTACACTATTCTTTACAAACCTGTATGACTGGTACTTAGTTTCTATCTAAGGTCGATCAATCCTCGCCAACGGATGCCGACCCGGATCCGATGCACCTGTTTTGCCCTGAGAGATAGGATAAGTTTCTAAAGCATGAAAATTACAGATTTCCGAAACATAGTTCTGTCCACCTTTGTAGAAAAAGCTTAGCTCACGAAGTCTCAGTCGAACTAGCATGAAGATGATTGATTATATGGGACATTCACTACAGATTTCTTTGTACGCTCACCGAATCGATACTGTATAAAACACATGCTCTTTTGAAAATGCGTAATCAAAGGATTTTATGTATGTTTATTTCATCGCCATAAAAATCAAAATCACAACTACCTATGCCACCATGTTCGAACACCGCTCCAAGAGTTCTCCATTCACGATTTTCCAATTCGTAATGATACATCGAACATGATTGATTATTTGTAGTAAAAGAATAATTATGTTGAAAGAATATGTGATATTTTAGTTTTTTAAAATTCTATGGAAGCACGTGAAAATGTCCGATGAGAATAAAAGAAATTCAATATTGTAAAAGGATTGATTTGACGCTTGTAACATCACTTGTTTTAACACTGGGTGTCGCTGCTCGTGAATGGCATGAGCACGATAAGTACCGAAAGATTTTGATCGCATGTTGTGTTAAAACACTGCATTCAGTAACAATTAAATGGCCTTCGTTGGTAATTGCTAATGATTGTGGATGACTCAGGTTATCGGTTGGTTTGAACAGTATTTCGACATTATTTTCTTGTAAATCGGGTTTAATTGAATAAATAACTGAATTGACCGAATCAATTACCAGAAATTGTCGATTTTGTTGATCATAATTCAGCGAATGAATATGAAGAAATGGTTGATTAAATAATTTTATTGACCGAATATACTTTCCATCGATTGTAATTTGATGAATTAAACTTTTGGTACCAAGTGGATTACTTACAAATATTGAATGATCACTTGGATCCATACAAACACAATATGCAATCGCTTTCGCTTCTAAATATTTAAAACAAAATCAATCTTCGTGTGACTTTTCGTTCTCCGGAATTACTTCTAATCGAAAATAATTGATTTAAATTAAGATTCAAAATTTCCTCTCTTTCCGGAATAAAAAATGTTTTGAGAAAACCATTTTCACATGAGACAGCCAACCAATGTTTCGTTGTTGCTAAATAGAAAGGTTTGTCTTTTGTTGCTAATGTATATTTATAGATAAATTTTCCTCGATATCCAATAGTAAAACATTGAATACGTCGATTATTTGTATCAGCAACAAGAATATTCGATGAAGAATTTTCAATAAATTCCGCAACACTCCATGGTGAATCAAATTCCAAAGGACCGTTTCCTCGTGTTCCGCCGCACGTTGAACGAAACATTAATTGAGATGTGAATAAAATTAGACGACATCGTTCTTGTTCGCAGATGATTAACGAACCATCCGTTTGACTTAAATAACAAACGCAACGTGGCCAGTTGATATTATACGCATACGCTGCGAGTAATTTGCTATTTCTAGAAATTCATCATGTAAAGATTTTCGTTCGAGAAGAAATTCTTTCGCCATTACTTTTTTTTCTCCTTTTTGGAAATAATCTCTTGAAAATCGATTGCGTCTTTTAAACCTTGGTGAAGCTTTTCATTGGAACTACTTTTGTCAACATATTCTTTGGATTGTAAGCCACAATTATGTCCTAATCAATTGAAGATTGTTGAAATGATATTCGAATGATATTTACTTTTATTTAGTGCAACAGAGTAAGGTAATGATGAATCAATTCCGACACGTCGAAGTCGAATATCGGTGGGTGGATAACCAAATGAAAATAGACGATCTTGTGTTGTTGAATCAACCATAGTTCTTTTTCACTCTCAACTCATTGAAAAATCACAGCGAATTTGATTCGAACGCAGAGAAAAAAAACACGAGTTTGTTTCATTCACGTGTTTTCAGAACAGAACAACATTGGTAACCAACTGGAAGCTGTTAGACATGATCAAACACAGCATTTATTTGTTTGACAAAGGAAAGAAAACAAGTTTAAAAAAATTCTAATTGTGAAACGAGTTAGACAGGACAATTTATTTTAAACAAATTCGACATACAGATGAAAAGGAAATCAATTGAATGATCGTTTTCAGTTGGTGTGAATTAAGACTGGCTTTTTTTTGGAGTGGTTTGTTTCCGTTTATTTTCAACACATGTAGCTCGGCATTGTTTCAGCTGGAGGTTGTATTCATCAGTGATTTTGGATGCGCCCAATTTCTTTCGACATTCTTTTTGGCATTCTCGGCCGAGTTTTCCTAGTCGCCTTCCTCCGACTTTCCTCGTAAGTGCAGCTAAATTTGGTCGAGAAGCATCTTTTGCTAGTTTTCCAGTGCCCGCTGCTTTTTCACAATTGACGAAGATCGAAAAAACGACGAGAACAAGAACAAGAATAATAGCAAAACGCATATCTTTCTCCTATGCACAATCTGATAACGTAAAAAGGTATCCTCACCATATACTCTCGAATATTTATACATCATTGCCAGTCGAGCATAGCAAACAATCTCTCTACGTTAAAATTTTATAATTAACCAAGTGTGACGAAGGAGAGCGGTGTCGACTAACCATCACGGAGAAATATTATGATTCAGTTCCGACGTGGCTTGTTTTTGACGAAATACGCATGATTATTTGATTATCAAGGCTAAATAAACCAATATCTTGTTTTTAGTTATTCAATACACCTAGACAAATGTATTTTCATTGACTTTTGAGCTTTTATTTGCTTAATAACGATTCTTTCTCTTCCAACTATGCATTTCCTTCAATAGATGTGTGTATTGTATGATTAATCAAATGGGAAAAGTCGAAACTATCTTGCATGAAATAATCAAGGTAACCGATGAATGCAAATAAATCGTATTTTATATAATCTAACTTCCTTTTCGACAGCCGATTAATTATGTCAGGTACTCGGGAAGTGCAATTTCTTAAAACACGTTCGCTCAGTACTGCGCGATCTACCAAACTAACGATCAGAGTGCTGATCCATTCGTTCTACAAATTTATCTTGATCGGAAGATATATTTTTCAATGAATGGCATAGTCATTTCATTTTCTTCGCAGTGATTAATTTTCGAAATGCAATTCTGCTATGAAATTAATGTCAGACATTATTATTTATGCAATAAGTACTCATAAGTATACGAACCGTCATCGCTCGTAGCGAAAAGCTGTGATGTCTAGTTGAACTGATGTTCCGATTGAAGGAAATAATTAAATAATGTATTCGAGCATTTCATAAAATCTTCTGGTGGAAGATCAAAACAACTTTGAATACTTTATAATTACAGTCTCTGTCTGAGTAAAAAGATGGTTCATGAACTTCCGGAGATCATTTGAACTGAAACATTTTTTATTAGGTCAATGATTACAAATTAAAAAACGGCATTATTTGAACACACTGCTGACTTTGAATAGTCTCAGAAATGGCATGTACAACGAGATTTAATTCAATTTGGATAAATAATATGACTGAATAAAAGACGCAGTTAAGAAAAAATAATCGTTTATGTCATGATTCGAAATAAATCGGAGGAGATTTTCCTCGAGTGACACGATATTTACCAAAGGAAAAAACAAAGGGTTATTTAGTAGACGAGCACATTATTGAGTATTATTGCTGATTTTGAAAATCGAGTAATGCCAATGCTCTCTCAAAAATATGTTCCGTGAAAACGTATTAATTGAATTTGATCCGTAAAAACCTAAATTTTCACCATATTGGTGTCCGAAAGTCTTTTGTTCGCGAGACACTTCATTTCCGTTGGAAAGAAGAAAATTGCCGATAGACAATCAAATGAATCCCTGACATTTCTTCTCGACAAGAACAACAAAGAACAATCGATGAATTCAACGAAGCTTCTCAAAAGAGATACTTTTTAATTAAATCGTTCGCTATTTAATGAATGCATTGGCTATTTAAATATCTCAAAAGAGATACTTTCTAATGAGATCTAGCTATTTAAATAATGTGTAGCTATTTAATGACTTTCATTGAGCTGTTTTTTTAATTGTAATGAAGAAATGAGGAAAACAAAGAAATCCTCGATTTCAAGAATTCAACAGATATTTTGACTTTTTTTTCTTCTGAATTGAAAGCAGCAATTTCATAAAGTAAACAGTTAATAGAAGACGATCTAAATCTTCACAACATACATTTCAACGTTCTTAGGATTACGAACGATATTTGTACAAATGAAATCTGCGGCGACCACGTCTTTTATTAGCGTCTTTTCTAATGAATATAGAAAGAAAGTCGGAATACAAGTTGTTGTTTTTTGTTACGAAACAACCAGATCACGAACAAAAAAAAAAGAGATGCTTTCGTTTGATTAACGGACAAGTATCTTCAGAACACCAGTTTACTGACTTTGTTAATCATATAACTATATTCAAATTCATTTTACTGGTAAAACAAAAGATGATTACCTCGGATATATATCGCCATAAGCATTGCGCCCATATGAAAACAAACGATATGTTTTTTTTTCGTTTAAGATTGTTTACGTTTCTTTCGATAATTCTTTCAATGTCCATTGATTCTGATGATCATCAAATTGAATTCTTTTATATAATCGTTCACGTTCATCTTTTGGAATGAAAATTTCGATAACTAATTGAAGAAGTTTGGATTGTTTTTGAATCTCTCGCTGTTCAGCTTCGAGTTCTTCTCGTGCAGATGGTTGATGTTGGACTATCTCCGTTCGTTTGGCCTCAATTTTCTTCAGATGCTTCGATAACTTATCACGTTTCGCTCGTTTATCTTCAACTTCTTCTTGTATATTCGTATATTTCGCATTGATCGTTTGTCGTTCTTCTTCACCTTCGGCTAATCGTTGTTGAACTTCACGTTGACGACGTTCAGCTTCAGCAATCAAACGCCTACAATCGAAGCTGGTTTCGATCACTTGAATCAACAAACAAACAAATAACAAACCGTTTCTGTCGAATGGTCTCTTCTTGTTCACTCGTGTGCGTCACAATATCTTTACCACCAATGATTAATTTCGATTTCATCTGCTGAATTTTATGTTGCGTCTCACGCCACGCCAGCACAAACGCTCCATTTCTCATCCGAACTCATCCGACCCCTGCTCGAAAAATAGTCAGTAAAAGAATAAATATCTCGTCTTTCATGTTGATGGCTGTGAGATTATACGTAAAGCATATCGAGTAACGGAAATACATGTAAATGAATTCTGTGAACAGTTACAGATCTCTCAATTGTTTTTGATGAAAACATCAAGCTGCTGATTGTTACGACTATTAATCTCTTCCCTGTGGTTAGATGATTGAGAAAAAGCTCTTTGACAGATATTCGAACTATTGAATATTTGTTTTCTTTTCTTAATTTTCGTTTTTGATGAAGTCAAAGCTGAATGAGGATTTTTTTAAAAGATCAATTAACTGGCCAATGTACAGGATTTTTTTTTGGCGCTTTGATTCGCAATTTGATCTAATGAAAGAGAAGAGATTGAACTAGTTGTCAAAAGAAAATGGCACGACAAAACAAAAGAAGTCGTTATGTCAGTGAGTACCATTGATTGCTTTGTAGACGAAATATACGTTTGAGTGATTTCACTAGTGGTATCATCTGATTCAGATGAATCTGAAAATGAGAATCCACGAGCAAGAAATCGAGAAAATGCTCATGTTGAAGGTGCTGATAACGATCGATCAAATTTAAATAACACATCTGCATCGGATTTGCTGGATGAGCTCAACGGTTTGATTCGAGATGTTGATGAAAAACGTATGCGCTTTATGATTTTTGTGTACGGTTTTTTTTCTGCTTTGCGTTTAATTTCGTTTTCATCGATCTTGGCAAGAAAAATGAATTTATTGAAAATTGTTTGAATCATTCACATAGCGTATCTGATATGAGCGATTTGAATATTGACGAATTGACATTCATCTGTGACAAGAAATTGTTTGGATATATTTAGGATTGGTCATACGAATGTTCACATGTTGAACTGTCTGCTTCTATTGCATCGAGAAGCATGAGTTCTAGTTTGTGTTAATTAACAAGGACATAATTGAGTTTTCTTTTACTGTGAAAAGGAAACGAACGATCAATGATAATATATGAGATAGATTTTCACGTGTATCGATGAGCTCGTATGAGATTATTAGATAGTCAACAAATTGATAGGACAAAGTATGATTTTCAGCGCATAATTGAAAAAAAAAATCAGAAATAATGAAAGCAATTTCTGTTTCTGTTGAAGGTCAACAGTCATCATCATCATCATCATCATCATCATCATCATCATCATCATCACCATCACCATCACCATCACCATCACCATCACCATCATCTGATTCATCAGTACACGTATTGAATGATGAAGCTGAATCGGCATCAACTACACCGATGAGATCTGTTCCTGGTGGAACAGTTAGTACGCAAAGTGAGTTGATGGATTTGATGATGTCAGAGGAAAGAAATTTCTTTTTGTAGAAACGATCGAACAATATTTTCCTCGAGAAAATAGTAACTTCGATGAAATCGATACTTTGAATGAAGATAGTTTGCGGTAATGACGTGACGAAATTGATTGATTAACTATCAGTTCATATTTTAGATTTCGGATACGTGGCAAAACTATCTTCCGAAGTCCTATTCGGCAATTTGGAACAAGTGGTCGTGTGTTTGATGCAATCGTTTGCGACAGAAATGCCGAAATCAAAGTGGTTGTTTTCAATGATGATGTCGATCGAACGTATCATCTCATGGATTTGAATCAAGTAAGAACAAAAAAACAAACAAATAAACATACAACTCATGTGAATACTTTCAGAAGGTGGTGATTGAAAACGGACAGATTAAAAAAACGGATGAACGATATCGTACACATTATTCGATTTACGAAATTCGAGTGGCCGCAACTACTCGCATCGAACGATACGAATCGAATGGATTCAATCCATTGTTCAAGATAATGGGAAAACCAATTCGGGATGTTCAACAACTGGCACATAATGCTTATGTTGGTAAGTTATCGAATCAACAACGTTGTAATTTGTTTCTTCCTTCTTGATAGACGTTGAAGGAAAAATTATCTTGGATCGAGGTACATCGACATCAACATCTGAAAGTACCCGGACAGAAATTCGCCGTCGTTCTCTTAAAATCGAAGATGAAACAGGTGCAATCAATATCACAGTATGGAATCAAAAAGTAATCGTGTTTAATCGCATCAGGAATGATTTGTCAAGATTGTTTTCACATTTAGATCGATGAAATTCAAGAACATGTCATCAATAAAACAGTTCGTGTACGAAAAGGCAAACTCAATCATTTTAATGGTGAGTTTTTATTGTTCTAACTGAAAGCAATAGATAAGAATCTATTTTCATTTAGATTCAGTCTCGATCAACATATCGGATTCATCAATCATCGAAGTTGTTTGAAATCGACAAAATAAACAGTACAAACTATTGTTGATCGAGTTGTTTCTTTTTTCTTCAAAGCACGTATTTGTTTTCTTTTCTCTCAACATTATGTATATTTACATGTTTATTATTTCATTATCATTCACGGTATGGAATATGACGAGAACAAATAGAAGTGCTCTTGAATTCTAGATTTTGCATTGTGCAAATTTTCATAAGCAGCCAACTAATCTTCTTCATCTATCTTGATACAAAGCATAGATCAATCAAAGAAATTGATTTCGATACAAATCAATAATTCAAACGAAGTAAAACTCGTGTGATCATCTCTCCTTTACACGATGGTTTGTATTATAGATAGACTATGTCAAATCATAAATGTCGTTCAATCATGTACGAATGTACTAAAGTCACACCTGCAAACGATGTATTTCCTTATGAAATACGAGCGGTGTTAGAAAACATCGTGAATTTAAAGAAAGTTCCGATAATGCATTTATTAATTGTCATTTTCGCTGGAATTGCTCATTGGTGTTCAAGAACAGTTTTAAACATAGATCTTGATTGGAATATTCCTTTAGTATTTTATGGTGTGATTATAGGATATCCAGGTATTCACATAAAAAAGAAAACAAGGACATATTGCTGTTTTCTTGATTTCCCAGGATCGAACAAGTCAACTGCTATCAATTTAATTGAGAGAGCGACACGAGAAGTTGAAGAATATCTGCAGATAAAGATTGAAGATAGTCGAATAAATGGATCAGTGACGATTGAAAGTTTATTGCATGAACTGGAGAAGAAAAGATCCATTGTTCAGTATGTAAAAGATCAATGCATTTTGCAAAGGAGAATGACGGGACTGAAAGATGACAGAATCTCAATGAGTCAACTGACTTTGATGATTTCCGAAAGATTGTAAATTATCCCATGGAATTTTGTGGAGATAGAAAAGTCTATCGTTCATTCTTACCTCTTCTCTTGCTGATGCATCATGAAACTATCAGTTCTTCATGCTTATCATTTATTTTGTCGAAAGAATTTCTTTCCTCTAATCATTTCTTGTTAGGGCATTTGATGAATTCAATACATTTGCATCTTCGTTTGGTCTCTACCGAGCAGACAAAGCCGTTTATCATCGATCCGTATTAAATACGCTTTGGAATGGGCCAAAGTCGTATTTTCGGCAACTAGTTAAAGGTGACATCAAATGTGAAAATCCATGGTTATCAATAGTCGCAGCTGCTCATCCCAGTACAATTATTAATATTTTGAAAGATGAAAATAATCAATCAGGTGCTGATGGATTGTTTGCGAGGTAAGTCGTTCGATCAAATCAAGCAATTTATTATTGATAATCGATGAAATTTCTATTGCAAGATTTATCTTTTCTGCTCGAATATCACCAGAAGATGTTCACAAACGAAATAAACGGGACATTGATAAATCGAACAGCGATTACGATACCACATCATCTGCATATCCAAGTCTTAGCCACATTATGTACTTCATCTATTTAATGCACCATGATCAATTCTTAACCCTGAAAATGTCTCCTGGAGCAAACGACATATTGACGTATACGCATAACGAATACAATAACATGGTGATAGGTTTTCAAGGATACCAGGATATTTTGTGTACGATCTTCTCCAAGTCGCGTGATCATTTGTATCGAATATGTGGCTTATTTCATCTTTTGCACAAAGCGTGCAGTTACATTTTAAAGGTGAGTTAATTTATTTCATCAATCAGCTAATGATTTTTGGCTAATACAGATTGAACCACCATTACAATACTTGTTGTTTGATGATTCAACTGCTGAATCAATACAGAAAATGGCTAGTTTAGCCAAAGAAAATATGGATGATTATCTTACGATTTCAGCTGATGCAGCACTTACAGCCGTTGAATTAATGAAATTTTATGTCGATACAAAGAAACTCTTATACAGTTTCCCGTTGATAACTATACCACCATCACAAGATATCAATGTTGGACCTTCAGTGTCTCAGCAAAACAACTCAAATAATCGACATTCGGATTTGAATGTTGATTATACTGGTTCATTTAATCCTGAAACTTCAAAACAAAGCGTTGTCAGTCAATACACAGGATTTTCAAGTATGCAATCATCATCGTCTAAAGATCAACTTGACGGATCTACGATTGATGCGATCATTATGAAAATTTTACAACACAAAAAACAAACAATTACAAGCACTCGACTTGCTCAAATCTTACGAGTAAACAATTTCTCAATAACGTGGATAATGACTGATGTCTTTCTGATTAGATTCCTGGTGTGAATGTCGAAAATATCAAGAAAGTCTTCATCTTTTTGGGCGGTTGCCAAATTGGAACCCATCTATTGCAAAAGCAGAAAAAACACGGAAAACCTCGATTATCATTTACGAAAGATCCAATACCGAAGGATAAAGAATCAGAAAAGTATAAAATGATGGCAAATTTCCTTAAGGAATTCAATATTGCACTTGAAGATTATCACAATTGCTTAGAAAGTGAATCAGAAACTTCGATCACGACAACAAATGATTCATACTCAACAAATACAGATATGACATCGTCAATCGATGATCGAGGTTCATCAACAAATAATTCTATCTCTACGATTGATAATTGAAATGAACAGAAACAATTGTTTTCCAATCTCATTCATTTGACGTGACTCCAAATCGAATACGAATAAATGTTCGTTGATGAAATCAATAGAGAAATGAGATTTTTTTCTCGTTGAAATCATATTCTGCATGGAATCAATGAAAGAAAGAAAAGTTGACTTGTTTGTATTATTTCAATACGATTCAGCAATTGAATGATTATCAAACCAATCAATAACGTTCTTTAGAAAGATGTCTATAAGCGTTCAAAGAGTTCTCTTAGTAACGAATGTTCTTATGGTTAACGATTAAGAGAAATGAATATAAATTGACTTTTTATTCTGTACAGATACATTGAAATTGTCATATTTAACGAATTCGATATTTTTACTATTCAATATATTTACGTTTCGATTAAAATCAAACAGATCGACTGATTGCTCACGGAACTAACGTTCTTTTGTTTTGATTATTTAACCTTATGAATCAAAATATGTATTCAATAGTTGAT